TCTAATTTAAGTATATACAACTCTAACTATTTGTAATCATATTTTGTTATTTTTAAACAAGTGTACTAATGTTATATTAAAGAAATATGTAATACCTTTTATTGAATGTACTATTTTATTATCTTATCTATTAGAATTGAGCTCTGGTTGATCTTATTCCTTTCATACTTTATCTATTTCTCTATTTATAATTAGTATAATAAATTTTGTTATTTTCAGTATTTATATGAAATCAATTTATTTGTAGTAATCAATTTTATGGTGTAATCCGATTTATTATTAATGGACAAAGTTCTATAGAATTTGAATAATTAATTTTTAAAATAAATCAACTTGATTATAAGCATGCATTTTTTTATCATCATTCAAAAATGTTTATAATAGATTAAGATCATTCATAAAGAACCTGAGCAGAATAACTCCTTTATCTTCTGAGGTATCTACTTAAAATATGTGTAATTGTCTATTTTATAATATATAAGCTATCTATGGAAATTTATTATATATGTAAGAATGAATCCTTTATATAATATTAATGAAATGCTTATGAATATTTATCATGTTTTTAAACAAATCTTTATGATGTCTAGATGACCAGAATATCAAAATTGAAATATAACCTAATGAATGGCTGTCTAAAATAAATATTATTGAAATCGCTTGAACCTTATTCAACATAAGGATATCATTTTTATTAAATATAATTATTGCATTTATATAAGAACTTTTTTTTTCTGAAATTGTTATGGCAATGAAATATGCAGAAGCGGAGAGGAAATTAAGGCTTATCAAGTGCCTAACAACTTTTCTTGTCTAAACCTCAAGTATAGGTGCAGTTTAAAATTATTAAATTTGATTGCAACTCGTTAATTAATTCAATGTAATCATCGTTGTAGGTACCAACTGTGGCAATAAAATAATATAACAGCACTTAAAATTCCGTAGGAGAGACTTTAAATTTTGTCAGTGTTTAATAAGTATATGCTTATTGAGTAAATTTGATAATTTAAAAAAAGGAGAGGTTTTAGAAATGGATGATTTGGAATAAATGTTAAAATATATTTATGAGCTATTGTAATTACTTGAGGAATGATTTCCTTGTAAAAATGAGTTAATTAATCAGATTCTAAGAATATAAAGATACAGAAATTTTCAAATTATATATATTGATGATAATTAATGTATAACTGTTTCATATTCTTATGATTCGAAAATAAAAAGATTATTATAATAATAATAATAATAATCAATGGCTGAAGAAGACCCGATGACGCAACAGGAATAAATGAGAGACGATGGGTGTGAACCATATGGAAAATTTCGAATAGCTAAGCAAACGTTGTGTTCGATTGCTTACATGTGCTAAGAAAGAGTGTTTGCTGAGGAAGTAGACAAATTGGAGGAATTAGGGGAGAAGTTAATAGAGGTATAGGATGTATGTATAGTGAAAGGAAGGACTTTGTACTGATTTCAAAAGTGGGTTGACGATGCAAGACCAACTGGAGAGGGAGAAAGCATTTGGACACAATAGGAAGCCTAAAATTGAGCCGAAAGGGTATTGTGAGTTGTGGCTGGGTGCATTGAATGACTTTACAATGAAGGTTTTATGCGTAGCAGCCATTGTCAGTATTATAGTTGATGTTTCAACTGCTGATGAGAGTTACAGGAAATTGGCTTGGATTGAAGGTATTTAATTAATTTATAATAAAATAGGATTTGCAATATTGGTGGCAGTGATTATCTCTACAAATGCAAATGCTGTGAATGATTATCAAAAGGAACGACAATTTTAAAAATTGAATGAAGTTGCCGATGAGAGAAAGAGAGTGACAGTTGTTCGTAATGGAAAGAAATGTGATATTCACATGAGTGAAGTGCTGGTTGGAGATGTTGTACAAATATTTGAGGGAATGGAAATCCCTGCAGATGGTTTTGTACTGGAAGCATCAGATTTGACAGCTGATGAGAGTGCTATGACAGGAGAAACTGATCCAATCAAAAAAAATGTGTTGATAGAGTGTATTAATAAGAGGAACTAATTAAAAGAAGAAGGAGGACAAGTAATTTTCTGTATCATTATAATATTAGAATACAGCAGGGCATCATGATGTTCCATCTCCAATAATGATGAGTGGAACTAGAGTACTAAGTGGTGAAGGCAGGATGCTCATTCTTGTTGTAGGAGACTCCTCTTGTGCTGGTAAAATTGCAGCATTATTGAGATAAGATGAGCCAGAAGGTAAATATAATTATGAGATTTAATAGCAACCCCTTTGTAAATGAAATTAACTGCAATAGCTGAGGATATTGGTAAATTTGGATTGATATCAGCAATTTTGATTGTTTGTGTTATGTGTTTAAGATTTGGTATCGAGAGAGGATTAAATGACGATTGGGAGAATTATATGGTTGTCACAATCATAGGATACTTTATCATTGGAATCACAGTGGTCGTCGTTGCTATTCCAGAAGGATTGCCATTGGCAGTTACTCTATCATTGGCTTATTCAACTAAATAGATGCTTCAAGATCAGAATCTAGTCAGAAAAATGGCAGCATGTGAAACTATGGGAGGAGCCTCTATGATTTGTTCAGACAAAACAGGAACTTTGACTCAAAACAAAATGTCCCTTGTTAATGTGTGGAATGATGATATCATTGAAATAGATTCCTATTCTGAAAAACAATAGTTGACATCCTATTTCCCATAAAACTTTTAGGAATTCTTCATCTAATGTGCAGTCGTCAATGGATCAGCTATGCTTAGACCTGAACCTAAAGGATCTAAGACAGAAATTGCATTACTGGAATTTATAGAAAGATGTTCTATGAATTATGAGGAATAAAGAGAGAAATATCCAGCTAGTACTAAGTTCCCCTTTAGCAGTTAAAGAAAAAGAATGTCTATGGTATTAGAATTAGATGGAGGAAGACGTAGATTGGTCTGCAAAGGAGCATCAGAAATGGTTTTAGCTGCATGCTCATAATATCATTCTAAGGGAAATGGATCTATTGTTCCCATGAATCAAGACTTAAAATAGAAAGTGGAGAAAGCAATTGAAACTATGGCTGGCAGAGCATTGAGAACTATTTGTTTAGCATACAAGGAAATCAGTGCAAGGGAAGATTTGACAACCAAAGATCCAAAGGGTGTATATGCTGTTGAATAAAGCGACTTAACCTTGGTTGCAGTGTTGGGAATCAAAGATATTCTTAGATAAGAAGTGCCTAGAGCTATTTAATTATGCAGAAGAGCAGGAATTAAAGTTAGAATGGTTACTGGAGATAATAAAATGACTGCTAGAGCCATTGCTAAAGAATGTGGTATCATTACACCAGGAGATGATTCATCTATTGTTATGGAAGGACCTGACTTTATAGCTAAAATTGGTGGTGTTGTTTGCTAAAAGTGTAGAACTGCTATCTGCCCTTGTGCAAGAGATAGTACTACAGCAAAGAAGGAAAATAAGGATGTTAGAGTTGATACAATTGCAAATGCACAAGAGTTCGATAAAATCTATCCTCATTTAGATGTATTGGCTCGTAGTAGACCTGAAGATAAATATGCTTTGGTGACAGGTTTGATTGAAAGAGGTCATGTGGTTGCTGTTACAGGTGATGGTACTAATGATGCTCCAGCTTTGAAAAAGGCTGATGTTGGATTTGCTATGGGTATTGCAGGAACTGAAGTTGCTAGAGAGGCTGCTGCTATTATTCTATTGGATGATAACTTTAATTCAATTGTCAAGGCTGTTATGTGGGGTAGAAATGTCTATGATAACATCAAAAAGTTTTTGAGATTTTAATTGACTGCTAATTTGGTTAGTGTTGGATTGACATTAATTGGTGCTGCTGTTTTGAGTTAGGAAATTTTGAAACCTATTTAATTGTTGTGGGTTAACTTGATTATGGATACTCTAGGTTCTCTTGCCTTAGCCACAGAGCCACCCACTGAGAAATTACTGTATCGTAAACCACATGATAGAAATGAGTACATCATCTCTAAAAAGATGTTTAAATTCATAGTTGGAACTGCTCTAATACAGATAGCTGTAGTTTTACTGATAGTATTTGCAGGAGATTCCTTTTTGCCCGAATATGCTGATGAGTACGATCTTACAGCATACAGAGGAATAAAGAAACGATACAAATATAGTGATCATTTGTGCAAGACTTCTTATGATGATCTCAAGAAATATTCAGAGGAAAGTGGTAGACCTATGACTTTGATTCCAGATGTCTCGGCATCAAAGGATGTTAAATAGAGTGGTTATTGTTTATCATCTGAATGTGTGTGCCATGAAGATAAATGTTATGACATCATGTGTGAGGAATGTGATTTCGAAACTAGTTGCACTATCATAGCCAGTGGCAGATTGAATACTCCTGAAGGAAAAAGAGACTATGCTGTATTCTATGAAGACACTCACGAACCTTCTCGTCATGTATCAATTCATTCATAACAAATTAGTTTACTTATGTCTTTAATGTTTTCATCATGCTTCAATTATTCAATTTTCTCAATAGCAGAAGATTCAATGATGAAATCAACGTTTTTGAAGGATTAACTAAGCATTCTGCTTTCATGATGATTGTACCTATCATATTCTGCATCCAAATCCTTATGGTTACATTTGGTTCAAAGGCTATTGGTCTTTATGGTAATTTCGGACTCAAAATACAATAATGGTATTTCATGAATATATGTGTAGGTTGATTGGAATTGGATTCGGATGTATATCAATAGTAGGATGTTTCTTCCTTAAATTCATAAAGGAAGACATGTGTTGTGAATGTGGAAGTAAAGAAATCAACCCAATGGAGACTGAACACAAGATTATAGCCCTAAAGGGAGATCATTCCTCAGGTGGCTTAGCAAGACGTTATTCATCTCTTGTAAATTCATTCACTTATATTTTAGAGACACGATTAGAATCCTTTTAGTGCTCCTCATCAATAACATTAGCATTGAATAATTATAAATAATCATATATATTAACTATATAAATGAAAATCAACAAGAGAGCCACTATGGAGAGTGAGTATGACTAAAAGGATATCGTAGTCATTGATAATGGTACTGACACTATCAAAGTGGGAATCTCAGGAGAGGACTATCCTAGAGTAATTATGACCCTATTGTATTTATAGCTAATTTATGACAATAAATGCGGATCGCACTCAGTTTAAAATGACAATGATAATCCAAACAATAAACCATAACTCTTATTCGGCTAAGATTTGAAGAAAGTCATCAAGGAGAAAAAGTTGAATGTACAGTTATCAAATCCAATCAAAGATGGAGTACAAATTATAATTATTGTATTTACTTAGAAAATTGATAATGTGGAATCTATGAAAGAATTCTGGCAATATATACTTGAGGATGGATTACAAATATCTGAATTACAATAAGTTAATTTATTAATCATTGATCAAGTAAAGAATAGTAAAGAATACAAATCGAAACTTGCTGAAGTCTTTTTTGATTATCTCAAAGTTTAATCAGTCTTATTCATGAATTCAGCAAGTTTGTCATTGTTTTCAACTGGATTAGTTAGGTAATTATTTTCATAACTTGTTTAAGCGGATTATCTATTGAATTAGGACATGCTGTGAATACAATTGTCCCAATTTATTAAGGATTTCCAATTATGCATGCTTTAGAATTTTCTCATATCTCGGGGGCTGAAATCACACAATGTTTGGAAAATGATTTGAAATGTTATGAAACGTTAATCGATAAATTTTCTGAGGAAGAGAAACAATGGATTATTAAGGATATTAAAGAAAAGATGTGTTACATTGCTAGTGATTATGAAATGCAAATGCAAGTAATCAATATACATTACAAATTAAGTCAGAAGACAATTTTACGGAAGAAGAGAGAAGCTATGAATTACCAGATGAATAAGTCATTCAAATTACTCCATAGATCAGATATCATTGTTCTGAAGCTTTATTCAATTCTGCTATTATAAATAAGAATAGTTTTTCATTGCCTTAAATGATTGTTAATTCGATCTAGAGATGTGATAAGGAATTGAGATCAGAATTACTGGCTAACATGGTGCTTGGTGGAGGTACTTCTATGTTTTAAGGACTAATATCCAGATTGCAAGATGATATTTGTTAAATCTATCCAGGAGGGGCTATGAGATCAGAATTCAATTTCGTTGCTGATTTCCAAAGGAAATATAGTGCTTGGATAGGTGGTTCTATGCTTGGATCACTTAAGACATTTTAATCTTTAGCTATCAATAAACAAGAATACGAAGAGAATCCTGAAGGCAAAATGTCACTTATTCATAAAAGAACATTTTGAAACATATTATATTAGTAATTATTTTAATCAAATTTTATATGTTAAAACTATATTATTTGAATTTCTAAGTTTCTTTTTATATTTACCAATAAACACAAAAGGATTTAGTACTCATTTTTAATACAATTAAATATTGTTGATTGTTAAGTAGTCTAGAATTTAATCTCATTTCTAGTTAAGACTTAATGATATTAAATAGATTATACCAAATTAACTCAAAGGTCTGTAAATATTATTATTATGGATTACTTATATACGATTTAATTATTTGATAAAATGAATGAAAATCAAAAGGGATTTAAGATTTTATTCTTAAATATAATTGAATTGATAAGTTACAGAAAAATTGCAATAATTATTATTATTTATTTCAACCCCATTAATTATATGAAAATCCGCAAAAAGGTGAATATAACGAGGTCTCTACCTAAGATTCCGATCTAAAATAAGGGTCGTTTCATCACTCAAAGGAATGAAGATGAGGAACTTGATTTCAGTATTGATTTCTTTCCTGAAACTACAACAAGTACGAAATAGGAGTTTTACCGATTTCACAAAACAATCGAAAGAATTTAAGAATAAAACCAATTTTATAATAGAAATGATAACCTAATGAGTAGTTTGTCTTCTCCGCAAATTCCTCCTGGGAGTTTTGGATTATTTAATCGACAAAAGAATGATGTTTTACACTTAAAGTATAATTGATCTCTTAATAGCCATATGAAGTATGGAGACAAGTATATGGTGATTTTGGCAAGGGGATTGCAGAAGCAAAATGACATCAAGGAGTTTCACCTAAATGACAATCGAATGACTTAGTTGAGTTCATCTGAGATTATAAGAAGTACTAGAGGAGCATATAAGTTGAGTTTATCAAAAAATAAGATTGGCAGTGGATGTTAGGAAATTGGAAATTCTTTGGTGAGTCGAGATTGCAAAATATAATTATTAAATTTAGAAGACAATAAGCTAAAGGAAAGTTAAATAATTGAAATCTTGGAAAGGGTTGCTGATAATAGATCATTGAAGATTTTGAATTTGAGTAAGAACAATATATCGAATAATTGTTGTACAGCACTTTGTAATATGATTTACAATAATGAAGACTTATCGGAATTATATTTGCATTTTAATAGATTGAATGGAAATGGAGCAATCATGATTTTTAATAGTTTGCAAAAATCTAATTTAAAAGTATTAGATTTATCCTAAAATTCAATAGGAATTGGTTTGGATTGGTCAAATAGTTTTAATCAAATGGTGAGCACCAATAAAGAATTAATTCATTTTGATTTGTCTTTTAATAGAATCCCATATAAAATCACATGCAACATAGCTGAAGGATTGAAAAAAAATAAAACAATCATAGGATTTCATTATACAGGTAATTCTGGCTATGTAGATACTAAAGGATTTTTGATACCTATTGAATCCGGAGAAACGGAATAGACTCAACATTAAATTGCTCAAAGAATACAAGGATGCTAATACATCAAGTAGAAACGCTTAAGATCATATCGAGATACCAACATCAAAGATTGTTGTTGGATTTGTGAAGGTTGGCGCTAAGTAGATTTCTAATGGAACCCATAAGAATCTGGTCCAGCAAACGATCCAATGTTCTTGCATCTATCTTATTTGAATTATGACGACTTATATATGGGAAAGGTTGAAGAAGGTTTGAAAGTGTAGAGGATGGTTCCTCCAGGTTTGTGTTATTACTTTTTTACAAATGACGATATCCAATGTGTAGCTTAGGATTAACTTCATAAGAGATGGCCATTGCCATTGAACAAAGTGAGAATCTTAGACAAAAAAGTGGATGTAAAATTGCATCAATTAAATTACTTAAATGTTTAAGGAACATAAATCATAGATAAATATTATATGCCAATTATCAATGTTTAGCCAAGGTAAGAGGACTTGCTTTACGTACCTGATATCATTGAGAATAAGAGGATTTGGTCATTTCCAATATCTCTGTTTAAGGATTGGAAAAAAGATACTGATGAGTTGTTGGATAAGTGTTTTTAAAATGATTGGAATTTAAGTAGAATTACCAAATTGATAAAGGATGAAAACGATCGAAATGGTTGCTATGAATTTTTGAGATCAAACTATCAATAAATAAAGGATACTTATAAGTAATTGATAATTTGAATTTTAGACACTTTGCATGCCTATCACCCATTGGAGATATTTGGGCCATCTCTTCCTTAATCAACTTACAATTGTTAAGCTAGATCAAGTTAACTGAAATGAATGAGAAAGGAGTAATCAAATAATAGGATATGGAATTAAAATACTTGGCCACCATATCTGGAACGGAAAAGGGAAATTACAGGAAACCAGAGAGAGGAATGGTCAGATTCTAGTTTCTTGAAATGTGGATCAGAATAGCTGAAGACAAGTATATTCGAAATGGGATTGCGAAATCCTTTGAAGAAGCCTTGAGATGGTTATGGGAGGATCATCTGAAGGAGGAATTCAATAAATATAATAGTTAGATCTTTAGAGACTCTAGGTATTGGAATGAACAATGTGACATGTGCATGAAGCATTATAAGACTATATTGGATAGTGTTTATATCAGATATAGTGTGAAGAAGGTGAAGCCAGGATAGAAGCCATTTATGAGTTTGCAAGAGTTGTAGGATATGTGTTCTCATATTGGATTGAATCAATTGGATACATACGGGCCGAACACTTCATTATTTGCATTTAACAAGGCCATGATGACTCAGGTTGACGAGGTCAATTCAGACAGAATATTTTAAATGAGTTTTGTGGAGTTCTTGGAAGCATTTGCTAGAATTGCTGAAGATGTTGATAATAGGCCTATTGGATTGCATCTGAAAATTGAATAGCTCATTTGGAGATGTTACAATTTATTTTCAGATATATATGCTTAACCAAATCAGAGTTACTTCTAAGATGAGTGGGACTAAATAAACAAATAATAAAGTGATGAAGACATTGATAATTATTATTGATGATAATTTTATAAACAATTAATATTATTGAATTAAATCATAAATTTATATTATATTATTTAATAGTATGAAATCGGGAATTTCACTATTATTTATTATTTATTTATGCAATCTCAAATTAACAAGACTTAAATCCTAGCCAATGTGAAGAAATGTCACAAGAACATTTCTAAACTTAATGACAAATTGTATATTCTACAAACGCTTATTAAAAAACATAATTTCAACATCGAAAAAAACACAGACATGATCAAATCCAAGGCAAGTGATAACCCAGTAGTCATTATAAATGATGAAACTAGCGTTGAAGTGATTATTAGTGCTGAAGATCCCAAGCAGGAATAAGCCATTGATATTAAATAGACTGCTCGCAAATTAATATCACGATTTTATTATCACATCGAATAAAAGATGAAGCAAAGTTCCATTAACCAAATAGAAGCATTAAAGTAATTCTGTGATAAAGAATACAAAAATGATCTCTTTGAAAAGCTTCATAAAGGATTTTTTAAGTTATATTTTGAACAGGATTAAAAATGCAAAGAATGCCAACAAATCATAAAGGACCAATAAAATTGTCTTAACCATATCAGATATGAACATTTGGCTGATCTAGAAATCTATATCTGTATCAAATGTAAGTCGTCTTTCTCTAAAGGAGATACCTTGGAGAAGCACATATCCCAAGCACATAATTATGGGTAATTGACTCAAGTGGAAACAAAGGTTGATGCTTAACTATTATAAATCAAACCATCAATTAAATTAAATGGAGTAAAGCAAAAGTTCCATCAGAAATTAGATTTAAACAATATTATGGATATTATACAACCTCAACCTGCTCTAAAAAAGGTTCTAATGCCCCCAAAAAACAATAATAACAGTTTGAGATCATCATAGGATGAGGCAAAGGAATGTGGATTTGTATTTAATTAGGTGTATATTCCTGTCGAATTAAATGCAGAGAATTCAGAAAAGAAAGATGAAGAATAAAAGGATCTCCACTCTAATTCTACAAAAAAACCAACCAAACTTAAAATTAATTTCATATAAGTATAAAAAAATGATAATACATAAAATAAGTGAATTAATTATTTATTCCAAATGATTAAAGAGTTTAAACTAAATCTCATTAAATTATTGTGGTATGTTGTTACATTTTCTAAAACCCAGAGAGATTTCTAAAAATGATTTAATTTTGGTTCATTAATTATCTTAAAATTCTATGAAAAACTTTGTTTAATGATATAAAGATAGATTATTAAAATAAAAGAGCATTTAATATAATTACACTTAGATTAAAGAGTATACTGTTGATAAGAATAATGATAGAAATCTACCATTATCAAATTTAACATCTTAAATCCAAAAAGAGTTCTAACACATTTTATAGTAATTAAGATGATCAGTAGAACAATTATAATAAATGTGATTCACATTAATATAATAATATTTTTGCAATAAGGATATCTAAGTGATAAATTTTGAATTGGTTATATAATTTTGATAATAATGAATTAGACATAATAAGTTTATATAAATAGTTTATTTATTAAATAACTTATTTAGAAACATCTGCGATGAATAAGGACGATATCATTGCATTTTATGAAAAAAGAGATGTGAAAGAGACATATAATTATGATATTTTGGCAGATGATAGGGTTTCGTTATTTTCTTCAATGAGAGAAACGAAGCAGGAGAATTAAAAGACTTTAATTTTGAGTAATTAACCAACGATATATTGCTGCCTGAGTATATGTAGTTTTTTGATTGCTCTATCTAATTTGCCAGAAGAGGACAGGATTTATTTTTTTTATGATGATCCATTATCGTACAATGTTGGACTGATTGTAAGTTATTAATTTAAGTAAGAGGTTTGTATGTGTTGTCTTTGTATACTTGGCATAGTAATCTCAGATATAATAAAGAAATCATTTACAAATAAGCAAATAGGAACTTTGCCGTTTTTGACAAAGAAGCAACATAAAATGAATTTTAATCCCACGATCTGTCTGGCAGGACAGGTTGCTCATTTTCTTTTACTGATTGAAATAATTCTCTAGACGATGCCAACTTAATTATTTTAACATGAAACACTTATGGATTTATCATTTTTATTAAATATGGTCTATTTTGCTTATGCGAATAGTTTTTTAGAGAAGAAGAAGGCAGCTCAAATGCATTACATACCATTTATCTTATATATTTGTGTGACTCTTGCACGTAATGATTAGTATAATTTAGAGTGCTATGTTAAAATAATTCCATGAAGTTACAATATACTCATATTTGGAAGGTGCAGACAGAGAGAGTGATTTTAACATACATGGGAATCATGTTGCAAGGGATATAATTTTAGTTGTTTAGACCAGCAATATAGTAGATGGAGAGAAATCAAAATATCTTGGCAGAAGTTCTTTGATTGCTTTATTAAATATAAAATCAATCTTGGAAAGGTTGAATGTCTTATTATTTTTATTATGGTTATTATTATGGTTTTATCTTTTGCATCAATGAGCGCATGAAGTTTTTTTGAGGGGAGGGTGGTTCTGGAGTAGCTATATAGGATAGTTTCTAATTAGGAGATACAGGAATAGGTTTTATTATCAATGGACTTTGGCATTCAAAATTCTTAGGAATATGCAAAGGTTGAGCATTCGATATTGATTTCACGATATCTCTGAATTCATTCAAAAATCTATCGTTGTAATACTCAACAATTCGTGTGAATACTTGCTTTTATTGGGAGTAATATTTAGTGTAAAGCTATTGTGATTAAAAATGTTCTTACTTTATTGAAAGTGTTAAAGGAAGGACTTTGTTTGTGATGTTTTTGTATCACATAAAATGTGCAAACTATCACAGTGTCAAAAATCACATCCTTTAGTACTTCTAATTTTGGATTCTTCATAAATTCGCATATTGCTGAATAAGCAAAATCATGAATGTCTAATTATAGTATTTTACAAAGTTCTTTCACTCTCAAGGCTAAATGGTTCTAGAATCTTCTCACTAATTCCTATTCAAAATATTTTGGGGAATCTACATGGCATTATTATATATTCAATACTGTCTCTGAAGATTTCGACTAGTTTCTTAGCATCTGTTTGCCACATCAAATTGAATAGGATGTGTTTCTCTAATTCAAAGAGTTATGAAGTAATAGTAGAGGGCATCTGTCGATTGAAATGAGCAAAATTGGCAATCACTCTAAATAAATCTAAGGGGCCTATCTCAAAGATTGTGCATAATTGTTTCATGTTTTACAATAGATTAGGTTTTTAGTTTATGATTTAATGGGTATACAAGGATAAACCTAAAATAGAAAATTGGAAGAGATCATTTTTAAGGAGTTTCAAATCAAATTAACCTTCATTCTATTTAATTAATGAGTCAATGACAGCTAGAGATAATGTGAATATAGTTTATTCTTATTCATTTTATTTTTAAGTTTTCATTGCTTCAGTGACTTCAAAGTACTTTCTAATTTTATGAATTGCCCTATCATGAAACTCCTTTTCATCATAATCCTCAAAACATTTATAATGTTGAATAGTGATTTTCTTCATCCATTAATATAATTCCATACATTTACTTATTGGAGTTTGAGGATTTGCATTTTTTTTAATATCAAAATATGTTTGTTCTAGTGTGTTGGAAAACTTGTTGTCTTTTAAAGGTGTCTGCATAAAAGGAGGGTCACTTTTTATTTTTGTTTTCTTTTATAAAGTTTCAAATTCTGAATAATCTGTTTATTTGTTAATGTCTTTTTTAGGAGTAAATACAATCCTTTATCTTAGAAAGCATTCTTCATCTAAATCTGAATGTTTTCTGGTCTTCTCATAATATTTATGTAGTCTTTTATACGTCTATTCAATTGTATTCTCTTCAAATAAAATATGAATTTGATTTTCTTGAGGATCTTATTACAAATCTAAAACTTTGGCTTTATGTTGCATCACACATGCAATTTGATTTATGCATTTAAAACACAGATTTTAATAATACTTTAATTCCTCATCGCATTCGTTTAAATCATTACAAAAAAAGGATAACATTTTTTATGAAAGATCTGCAACATTTTATGTGAATGTATTTGGTAAATTTGAAAATATTCTTGATAAAGATCCAACCAGAATCAAAATAACTTTACTATTTGGATCATAGATATTGTGCTCATTCTTACCTAACTACTCTTCATATTGTAAAATGTTTTATCGAACCATTATGCACAGAATCCATGCTACTTTCTTTAAGGCTTATATGTAAGGATCGCTATCATCCTCTTTTCTGAATTAAGGAGTCGAACTTGGATTCTAGAATGGCCTAATAAATATTCAATTTATTGATTTTACTGAATGAGGCTAAAGCATTTGTCAAACTTTTTGTATAATCTGAAGCTGAAATTGGCTTATCTGACAACACTATCAAATTCACTTGAATGATACTTCGGTAGAGAAGGAAGTTGTTATAAAACCAATAAGAACTACTCAATATCAGTTTGGGGATCCAAATTGCGAATTATCTACAATCTTATTACCATTATACTTATGTAAGTGTAATTCCATTGCCTTATTTTGTTTATCCATCTATTTATTGTATTTGACAGCTTTGGCTACACAAATAAACTACAGCTGGAACGTAAATCTAAATACCTTCTAATGAAATATACTTTTTCCTCTTATTCTGAAAATTACTGCATAGCTATTCTTACTTAATCTAAGGTTTCTTGATCCAAATTTAGTTAATTAGAAAATTCTTCTATATACATTCTTCCCGGGTAATTTTAATATATTTATTAACTATTAATGAATATTTTTGAAAAATCAAAATGTTGTGTATGTTCAAAGACTCTTTAAATATTGTAGTTAATTCTAATCATAATTTTAGCCTTATGCGTTTCTCTAGCCAGTGTAAAAGGTGTCATTAAGATGTGTGTACCTCTTGTAGCAAAAGTCAAATCAAGGTAATTCCATTTCATCTACAAAGTTATATGCTATACCCAATGAATTGGTGAGAGAGTTCGAAAAACCATAAAGAGTTTGCGATAATTGTTATAGAGATTACCTATATTACCAGGATTTGATCGATGTATACAAATTAAAATGGAATATTAAATCACTTCTCATGAACAAATTATTGGGAGACAAAAAGAGGAAGATAAAGTTTAAACAGCCTCCAGAGTTGTTTGATAAACAGAATATTGAAAAGGATGTACTGACTGGAAGATCAGATGCTCATCTATTAAATTACAGCATAAGAGAATTCGTAACCCAATGTTAATAAGGGCAGTAACAAGAATAAATTAGAAATTCGATTATTCGAGTCTTGGAATTATTCGTAGCTCATAATCCAACTATTGGGTATTGTTAGGGGATGAATTATATTGCAATCCTTTGTTTATGCATAGCAGATGAGGAAGGGGCCTTTCTTCTTATGAATCACCTATTTAAGGAGATTATACCTGCAAGGTTCTTCTCAAATTCGCAAGGAGCATCTTTAATTGGCTATTAGGCTGAACTTAACTTTCTTCAAGAGATGATTGGCGTTACTGGTTTCTAAAATAGAGAAACCTTGACCCAATTTATCGAACTTTTCGGACCTTAACTCCTATTAACTTTAATGATATAAGTGCTTAATACCAGTTCATTATTAGTCACTTGGATTGAAATGTTCAAACTCAAATCCTTTATTCCTATTGACAATGTTATACTGTACACACTAAAAACTGTTGCAAAGGATTAAAATCTTATGCATCCTAAAATTCTAAATAACATAGGAAAATGTATTTATATGTTCCTATTAAATACAAGTTGTTCATTATCCCAATTTAATTGAAATATTTAAACAGGAAAAAGTTTTCTTTACCAAATTTGAGAGACAAATCTATATAGAATAATATTACTCAAAAACAAGTCGATCATGGGTGAAAAATGATCCTGTCATTTTGAATAAATTAAAAAAAATATCAAATCTTGATATCGATGAAATCACAACGCTGCAAACTGAATTCAAAAAGTATTGTTTAGAGAAAAGAACCATTTAAATTGATTAATAGTAAAGAAAAAGTATGAAATAATTAGCATAATTAACTGATTCATCTGATGAAGATGGAGATGATCAATACAGAGAGACTTTAATAATATAATAATTTAAACTCTAAAAATATGGCATCAATATAGATACATTTCTATCATTTATGGTAATATCATCAGTTTTTTATATATAAATAGGAGATATTTTTACGAAAAGAGACCTAACATTATCCTTTAGATTAAGAAAAACTGTAGTTAATTTTTAACTTATTCGATGAAAATAAATCAGAGCTCTTAGATTTTAGGGAATTTCTCATCTGTTTAAGCATTCTACTGAGAGGTTCTTTTGCCGATAAGTTTAAGATGCTCTTCACAGCTCATACGTAGAATGTCTTGAAATTTTAAGATTTTGAAACACTCCTCTCCCTACTCATACCTTAAGATATATAATAATCAAAGGAGTACACTGAATTCTTATAGAGAATTGTCTAGCCTTATTTCACATACTTTGATATGTTGAAAGTATTAAAAGATCCCTTGATTGTTCAACTAGAAGTGAATAAAGAGATGACTGCGAGTCAGATTAAGAAATTAAATTCATATAAAGGAATAATAGATTGATGAGATTATCACATATTCGATTATTTATTTATTCTTTCACGGCTTTGCTTAGGTAGATCTTAATCATCAAAGTTTATTTCTCTTTTTTCTTCTAAAGGAATTTTTTCTGATAATTTTTGCAATTAATCCAAAAATACTAATGGATCATCATCTTCTAAATTCTCATCTTTTGTATTTTCATTAGAAGATTTTAATGCATCAATGAACTCTACTTTATCCTTGAATTTAGCCAATATTCTTGTGCCTATATTTCCTGGATCATTTTATTAAGCAAGTTCATAATCCTCATCGTTCTCGTTATAGGATTCGATTTTCAAGTTAAGTTAAGTTGCATCACTTTTAGCACTGCATTTCTTTTGATGATTTTATAAGTTATCTATGACACCTTTCCATTTACAACCATAATTTCTATTTAAACAATAAACAGGCAGTTCGCTTATAATCCCTGCAGCAATACGATCAGCTTTGATATATTTCAAATATCCATACATTAGAAGTCCTTTTCTTTTGTATTTGCTCTGCATTCAGGACAATTCTGATGATCTCTCAACCATTAAACAATACATAGTTTACAATAGGTGTGGCTTCATAATAATCATCAATACCCGCATTTTAATCTAGTGGGTTGTTCAAAAACAGCGGAACAAATAGTGCATTTTAAGTATTTCGATATAGAATGTTCATTTACGAAATTTCGCTCCTGTTTTTTACTTTCCATTATTTAATTAATTAATTAATAATTCTATTAATTATATAAATAACCTAAATTTCATTAATAGATAGAAAATCTCAAATTTTGTGATAATTATTTGATTCATTCAAAACTCGATATCGACATAATTTTATTAATTTCTTAAAATAATATTCATTATTAAATATGGAGCTTATTCATAAATTAGACTCTTGAACCTTATCATTTTAATCAAGTTCACTTGAGTATACCAAGAATTACGTTTTTATTCTTCTTAAGTTAGATATATATTAAATACTTGGAATTAAATTTTTATTTATAATTAAAATAAATTTTAACATGTCTGAAATTGAGCAGTTAACTTAGTAGAAGTAAGAGATCGAGAAAAGCCAAGCAATTTTAAATTAATGGGTTCAATTAAAGAAAAATCTGTCATCTAAATTCAAAAATCCTGTAGAAGCCTTTAAATCATTATGCAAGGAAGGGAAAGATGTTTTAGCTATAGAAGATTTTGGAGATTATGCCAAAGGATTGGATTTGTAAGATTATTGAAATATAATAAATAGAACCTAAGTATTTAAAGACATTACATTGAATGATGAAAACTTTTCCAAAGTTTGGGAATAATGGGAGTACAAATAAAAATAAAATGATCACAAATTACAAATAATTAATGAGAAATTATAACTTTTGACTATGTTGGATAATGGAGAAATGCCTAAAGAAGCTTCAAGAGGTTTAGATACAGCACCAAATAAAAGAGTATAACCAATAGCTAATAATTGTGAAACATTAGAAAAATTACAAGAGAAACTGGATAATCTAGTAAATGAAGGATAAAAATAGAAAGAAAAATAAGATGTTGTTCAAAATGAGCAAGATTGTTTTGCATAATTCTTAGCCAAGAAATCTGAAGTCAAATAACCAGAACTTCAAGTTCTCAAACTTCAATAAAAAAATAACGAAGAAGAAGAAGAAGAAGGTAGTAAACCATCTAAGGCTAAACGAAGTTACATTGATTCTACCTATTCCTACTCAAGGAGTAAGGGTGCCTATGGAAGTACAGGTAATTTACTTCAAAGTAGTCTCTAAAATAAGGGTTCCTTAGGAAATAGTCAAATATCCCTTAAATCCTCCTTTATCATAGAATCCTAGATTTAAATATCTCCTCAAAAAGCAGCTCAAAACTTGAAAAATTATGCTCCAAATCCATAATAATAAATAAAGTCACCTTATGAAGAACGATAGGTGCTAGAAGAAAGAAAATCTCAAAAAGCAAATAGAATGAAAGGGGATCTTCAATCCTATATATCCGATCTATTCTAGAATGAAAGAGAACAAAGATAGTAAATTAGAACATTTGAAAAACCATCATCCCAAGGTTTAGCTGGTTTTGTAACATCAAAAAGATTATATCAGAATGCATCCAATAAATAATCATTCGTTGATAATGATTCTTAGAATGTAAATAAGAGAGTGCAAACCATTAGGTATTATTGAAATATAATAGTAGGTATAAGTTGGATGACTTTTAATCATAAAAATTAGCTTAATATAGTTATGTTCCAAGAACAGTACCAGATTGGACTCCTGATAGACCTGTGAGATTGTCAAATCCAAAACCGAAATAACCAAGTCCTAAATATACTCCTGGAAATACTCATAGATTAAATCTAAATTATTTGAAGCAAGAAAAAGAAAAGGAGTCACATGAACAAAAATAGGAGGAGTAGCCATAAGCAAATTGCTGATTTATTATTTATTAATAATATAAATACATGTTGATTTTTTATTTGGTTAGATTACTCATTTTATAAACATTTCATCTATTAAATAGGTAGCTTATCAAATTAACCAACCAGTATTCACTTTATTATTTTAACTTCAATTTCTATTTCTCTTTTTATACATAATTGTTATAAAGGAAATCTGTTAGTTTAATCAATTCTAAACAATAATGGCCAATTAAGGATTTATATAAGATTATCAAATCAGAATGTTGAGGATTGAAAATATCACAGATCCCCCAAGGAAACTTTCTATATTTAATAGTTCCATTCATTACCTTCCATAGATGAGAAGATTTCCTACTTGAAATTATTCTACTGAACTTATGATCACATAAGGAAGTGTGGGTCCAAATTGACTTTTCTCTTGGAAGTTGTTATTGCATTAGCATTTGAACAAATCGATATGATAATGATTTATCATATCATTAAATTGTTATTTAAGTTAAATAATCTCATTTTTAGTGTAGGAGTCACCCTTGGCTAAGATGGGAATAACATTCACCAATCCACTTATCTTTTTGAGTGCTTACAAATCTTCTGTTTAAATTCTAGGGCCAGAGAAAAAGTAAAAACATACATGCACTCTTTCATCGAATTCTTATTAAGACAATTACTAAAATTTCTCTTTGCTTTCATATTATTGATTTTATCTTTGTTGATAAGACTTAAATTAATTCTTAATGTATCCACATAAGAGCTTAAGCCAAGATCTGAGACTGTATTGATGTTTGAAACCAGGGGTGTCAATAAATTTGATATTCAAAGTTAAATCATTTTAGTTGATTATGCCTTTGTTTTTGAATGAATTAAATTACCTTATATTTCTTGGATTTGTAGAGTGGAATCTCTTATGATTTGACCATTGCCTAACTTCTTTTTGAGTAAGACATCAATGAAAGTGGATTTCCCCAATCCTGACTAGCCAACAACCATAATGTTCAGATAAATCTAGATGTAAAGATATATAAACTTACAGGTTTGTGATCTCTTTATTTTTTCTATTCAATAAGGGCTTTAATCTCAGATCCAGGATACGAATCCCCCAAAGATTCAATTATTTGCGATTCGTACTATGACTATTCGATGTCTTATTGAATTATTGGTAAGGGTTATTTTAGAGATGAGGATTTACTAGTTGAAGGAGTACATTTTACTTCTCTTAGTATTCAGAGATTTCACTAGCTTATTCATCAAATTTATGATCACTTTTCTTGATTGTACCAGTTAGTCCATTGATAATTGAGAAATCCTCAGTTCTTTATGAATTATCTAATTAAATTGGCTTTAAATTTCATTACAAGAAGTCTCAAGTTTAGTTCTTTTGAAATCTTGCATTATAAAATTATATATAATTTAAACCAAAGTCAGATTAAGGAAGTGTTATTATTACTATATGGTAATTTATGGATTTTTGTTATAAAAATAGAGACAAACGAAAAGAAATAATAATCTTCTTAAGGCGAATATAATTTATTTATATAATGATTATTAAGTCTAAAGCTACAGTAACTAAGATCAAGTTACCACAAATAGCAATGAGTCACATTCGTGAACGATCAACTCACCATTCAAAGGCAAGATCCTTGAACCCATCTCAATCTCCGATGTCTAAAATGCTATAGCCAACAACTCCTTTGCATTCAACTCATCATAAAAACTCCTCTTATTATCATTATTCCAGCATTATGAAAATAGATCAGGCTCCTCTCAATGAAGTCGAAATGTTTAATTGCTTATATAAGCCACTCGATGTTACAACGACAACCAAAAACAAGGAAAGTCCTATGAAGCGTATTCGCAATAATAGTAATGAAAACTTTTAGAATCATTTCATGATATCTCGAGATCCACGTAGAAGTGCCCCTGATTTAGACATGTATCCAAACTATTTGAAAAAGCCTCAGTAATAAAATCAAACAAAGAGAATCGAAATAAGGGAGAAAATCATGGAAATATATAATTAGGTAGTGAAGTTACTGCAAAATCACAAAGGATATGTAAGACAGATGGAAAAGAAGCAAGCTGTGATTACATTAGTAAAGTTAAGAAAGGAGTTCATGCTTTTGAATTAGGATTACAATGATTATTATGTATTGCCAGTAGCTGAGCCTGATCTTGAATTTAAGAATAGAATGGAAATGCTTATTAACTGGTTTCAACCTCATAAATTACAAAAGAGCAATAGAATAAATCTAATATTCAATTTTGATGAATCATTCAACACTGCTGAACAAAGTTAGATAATGCAATTATTGTCTGATTAATTTAGTGATCAGGATTAAAATTATTCAACCTCTCAATAATCTTGTGAGAACCTATCAGAAGTCTCTGGAGCAATCAGTCAATCTAAAAGAAATGCCTAATAGAACAGAACTACTAAAGTCTCAGTTTCAAAATAATCAAAGCTCATAAATCCAATTGAGTAATTATAAATTTAACAAATACAAGTTGACTAATAAAAATAGAAACACAAAAATAGTAAATAAGATTTAAAGGAATCTAAAACTTAAATACCTCGAAAATATACCAAATTAAGTATTGAGGATATCATGGATCAAAAAGAAAAGAATGATAACATAAATTATTTTGATGAAGATGAAGAACCAAGTGAAAATGGCACTGGTGATAAAGGTACAGATACAAAGAGGAGAGCAAGGAGAGATGCAAAAATGATAAGCAGGAAGAATGCTATTCTTGGAGCTAACGGTTAACCGGTTGATAAGAAGAACTACAGAATCAATACAGATGGGTAGATGGTCAGTGATCAAATGTCTGATTAAGATAAATCTAGTGATAATAGAAGGTAATCTGAAGAGACGAATCGCAATGGATTGGAAAATAGAGAAGATCTATTATCCAATCAGGAATAGATTGATGAGATACTGAATCAAGTTGAAAATGATTTAATTACTTACTAAAAGATGGATGAAAATGATAATAAAAGAAAGAGGAGTAAAGCTATGGAATTCAATTTGGACAATAATTAACAAGGTTAAAATAGATTTTAGAAATAGTAAAAAAAATATGACCAAAACCATATTATTAAATAAAGTCAGATTTATAAAACTGAACCTGAGTTTTTAAATTAAATAATTGATTAAACTGGATTAATTGAAGCCTTATACAATTGTTAATACATCTATGATTCTCGAATTCTTGATTTATATAGAATAGATAAATAATATACTACATGGGATGATGATATAGATTATATTTACTGTGGAGAATATTAATTCAGATGATTTATTATATATATATATAATGTTTATTAATGATCATTATTAAATTTTTTCCTGCGCTTTTTACAATAAATCAAAGAAATTGATTGAGGAACTTCCTGATGGTAGATTGAGAAAGCCCATAGCTGTAAAAGCTTGAAGATGCAATTTAAATCCATCTATATTATCATAATTGGAAAATGTTGGACATAAAAATATTAAGTGTTTGCTTATTAACAAATTGAATCCCATTTTTAGAGCAGCAGCTAGATATTAAGAATAATAATACTATGATCATAATCCATTATTATTGACAATATCTTTAATATTATATCCATCACAGATTCTGCTGTTAGAATCTAAGGAGGGAATGCAAAATAATGATGAATATCCAAAGATTTAACTACATTATTATTATGTTAATTTTACGTTTGAACACTTCTCTTTGAACTTCATAACACTAACTTCTTTGATCTAGAATAAATTCTTCAATTGGCATTAATTGTTTATAATTGACTTATACTTTCTTCTCATTCAGAAACTTAAACAGTTTCTTATTGGCTTTATTCAGTTCAGCGTGTTATCTTAGAATAATTGAATAGTGGCCATTTGATAACGGTAAAAAAGATTCTAAATCCTATGGAAGGATATTCAAAACAACCAAAGCATCACATTTATTAATGATTTTTGTGACTATTTCACAATCCTAGATGGTAATTGATTTAAATATATCTAATTAGTGCTCGTACAATCCTTCACAATTTGTTTATGCACTGCTTTTCTTGTATGAATTTATTCTCCCTCTTTTAATACAACTATAATCATCTATATGGTTATCAACAGGTTTGCATAACAACATTTAACCATCCATTAACGGGAATGGATGCAAAATTAAGGCATAGTCATTTCTAAATTTATGGACAAACAATTCTGAGACATCAATTTTATCAGGCTTTTCTTAATTATTGTTTAGGATAGTTTCAATATCTTCCTGTAAATCCATAACTGGTCCACCGCCAATCGATTAGACTTAATCTAATTCTTATTGTTCATTATTAGGATTGATTTATTCCTATTATTAATCTGCACCTTATTGATCAGTCTATAATGGGTCTTCAACCTAATCATTTTTGATGACATCTAATTCCCCCTCTTCGTTAGGTTATTCAACAATGGGTTGAGTTTGAATAGTTGCCTTGGGAGATGAGTTGGTATCATTTAATTCGTTAGTGTCTCTTCTGATATCAGGTGAGATCATGCCTGAATAAGATAAGATAATATATTACTATTCTTATGAGATTGTTCCCTCTCTCTCTGTTATGCCAATTCTTGTAGTTGTTATTAGAGTTATTCTTATTCTAAAGTAAGGAACCTGGCTGTTTCACTAAACCATAAGATTTGTTTGATTACGAATTTACCATCCTCCTTGACTTCTACATCTACATAATTGGATTCTTGAATGGTTTCCTTATTTTCTTCGAAATAGTGAGATTCTTATAACTTTTTGATTGGTCTCAATCTATCATCGAACTTATAGAGAAACTAGAATAAAAGAGAGGAATCACCTTCATTCCATTTCGAAAACTAGATGAGTAAATACTGTCAGTTGACAAATTTCGTTTCACATCTGTTCGTATTAGATTATTTAGTGAATCATACCAAGTCTTCAATTTTTCTTTGACACCACTTTTAAATGACTATTTGAATACGCCATCTGTAGGCTACACAATATTATTTGAATAGATAATGAGCATCTGTTATTCTATTTTCTCTACTAAAGTTTTCTTGCCTCTCTGCAATTTTAACTTTAGATCCAATTCTTGTTTGGCTATTTTCTTATTGACATCAGGAGTTATAGGACCTTGTCTTAATTTTGGATCAGAGAAACCGAATCTACTTTCTGCCAATGAAATAAATGCCTAGATGATTTGCATGGTTGTACATTTCTATCTCCAATAAGACATCCATCCATAGTATATATGATGGGATTGCTCTTTTATTTAAATCCATATATTCTGCAGATCTCATCAGCATATTATTCCCATTAAGTTAGATCTTTCAATACAATCTTGAATGAGATTTCTGGGTAGTATTGTCTAATCAGATTGGCCATGTTCTCGCACTATTATGTTAACTTGAAGATAGAGTACTTCGGCTGTATCGACTTTATCGGAACTGCCTGCTATAATATACGAACTCATTTTAATTAATTATCTTTATTTGTATTGTACTATAATTAATGAATCTAAATCAACGATTGGTTTTGGCAACTTTCTCTAATTCGTCTCTCTTTTTAATAGTGTATGACTTTTATCCGTCTTCATTGGATGCTGCAATCAATTCATCAGCTAAGGCTTCAGCTATTGTTTTCATCTTCTTGAATACAGAATCTCTAACACCTTTGGCCAAATTGTGAACAGCCTTTCATTATCATTCAAATGCTTACCTCATTAACTCTTCTAATTGGAGCAACATCAACAGCTTATTATTTGGCAACACCACCAGTTCCTACTTTAGTGAAATCTTCTCTTGCTCCACCTCTTTAGACTGCAAGTGACAACACTGCGAGTGGATTCTTGCCTGTCAACAAATGAACAATTTCAAATGCATGTCTGATTATTGCCACAGCCTTTACTTTCTTACCTGTATTTCTGCCATGAAACATAAGTGCTCCAGCCAATCTCTCAACTATTGGGCATTAAGCCTTTCTAAACTTCTTTCTTTGATATCTATAAACAATAATATTCAATCTCTATACCTTCCAGCAGTGTGAGGGACAAACACACGTGATTTCGATGTTTGAACTGCAATATAATCTTTGAAGCATTAATCTGTTACTTAAACTTCATCATAATCCCATTTTCCGAATAATTTAGGTTGATTTGCAAATTTGACTGTAGCTACAGATTCTTATTCAGCCATAATATTTTTTTTTAAAAGGATATTTTATTTATTTAAAATTCGATATATTTTGCATGATTAAACATATCATTCATAACTAAATTCACTAACATTTTATCATACTCTAACACTAATATATTGAACTATAATATCAATAATAACATCCAGGAATGTAATCTACATTCATTGATGTTCTTATTAAAATAGAAATTTATAATCAGAAAAAGAAAATTACTTTATGATTTCAATACATAAAGCAATAAGAAATACGAATTATTGGAAGGCTTGAAAATCAATAATAGAATAAGTCGTAATGTTGTATCTTGAATATTAATAACTCTTGTCTTTTTGAAATAGTAAATTGATAAATAATAGTGCAACTTTCGATGTCAAAAATCTAAAATAGTTTATATATGGAATATTTGGGATGTTTCAATTTTGGAATTACCCTCTTCGTTTCTAAATTCATCAGAGGTAATGAATATTCTTCGATGATCTTAATTTTCTATTGTAAAATTGAGAAGATCAAAAAATCTCTAATTATCTATCAAGATTATTTTCAACTATGAATAATATTAAAAAATCTACATGTAAATTGGAACCCTTAATTTTATATTGCATTTCCTAACTAGAATATATGCTCAATTATCATACGGACTATAAAGTATTTATATCGTTCATCCTTCAAATTGGTAATACAATGCGCCAATAGATTAGATAAATTGTAGGTACTAATTAAAAACACTAAAAGAAAGGTATTTTCTCTAAAAAATAAAATTCATTGTATTTAACTTTGCAATAAAGAATAGTACTTAAAAAATCAAATTCACCGGGTATAACATTAAAAAGGACATTTTATAGAAATTAGTTATCGATTCCAAAAAAATGAAACTAATTGATTCAGTCAAAGTTGAAGTTTTATAAAATATATATGTGAACAGTATGAAACCGAAAAAAATTTTGAAGTATGATTAAAAAGAGATATAACAAATACAAACAATGATGAAAAAATAATTATTTATATAATAATAATGGATTTACATCATTCTAAATCTTTTGGAGTTTTCAATGAGTTGAACTGCCAGCTTTTTAAACCAAAACCTCATCCTTTCAGACTTTAAATTGGTAATTAATCTCTTTAAGTTCTAAGGTTCATTACCTACTGAGATACCACAAGTTCTAAAATAGGCTCTAGTCACTCCTTCTACAAATGACAATGATTCAAAGTATTATAATACTTAACTTAGTCACTCTCCCTCTCCATAGTTAAGGGCTTTCAAATCTTACAGAGTCTCCACTGAAATATTAAATGGATCTCCGATTGATTAGATATAAATAATTATGAGAGAAAACGAGAACTTGAAAAAATCATTGAACCAAAAACAGAAGATTATTGATACTTTAACTCGATCACATAAAACCAAAATTAGATTAGATTTCAACGATTTGAAAAAGAATTCAAGATCTCATATTTAACTTCAAAGTTAATAGGATGCCAATAAGCCAAAGTTAATTGAAGTAAAGCAGTCAGTCTCTCAAAATTATAATAAACGAACCAAATTGCCAAGGATTGAAGATCCTGTTCCAAAGGATGATGATTGTAATTTCACTTTCGCTAATAATTTTTTCAACGACAATAGCACTTCTCAACGTCAAAAGTTTAATTTTAAATAAGTGTTTGCCTAATCTCATTTGAAGAAGAAATTTTTCACTTGATAATTAATTCTATAAAAAAAATAAATGAAAGACAATTATGATCTAATCACAACTTCTCAGGCCATTTTCGATGTAGTCAAAAGAGGAAATTTGATCGAAGAAACACGCATTCAATACGAAATCAAATGTATTGGAACTGAAATAGAAACATCTTAAATGTAAAAATTCCATATTCAATCTTCAAAGAGGATATGACACTGTTAAATATAAGTTTACAATCACTAAAATTGATTTGTTAACAAATAATAAAAAGTCTCATGATTTTGTTAGAAGGTATTAAAAATAAAATCTTAAACCAATAGATATACGCATTTCCTATGGTTATAAGACGAATTGCAAAATAAATTAATAGGAAGAATTATTCCCAGTCTTCCTGAAAAATAGACTGGTTACGATAAAGATAAAAGGTAATCAATTATATATATAATCAAATAGAAAATTAGAATTTGTCTACTTTATGTAAAAAATATTAAGTCACAAGAAATTCTAATCAGTTGATTGCATTGAACGATTTTTTAGTGAAGAATTAAAAGTACTTCATCATATTGAATTTTATTCTATAGGAATATGAGGCATTTTAATAATATATCGACAATATGAAAGAGTCTCAATCGGTGATCAATAAGGTTATCAGTACAGGATTATCATTCATGAACATGTTCTCAAGAGTGTACAATTATAACAATATTCAAATAATCCCTAGAATTCCTGATGATTTTGATAAATAATTTGATGAATGTAAATTACTCATAATATTGTTAAGATAAGAAAGAATTCGAATTAAATAAACTTAATACTGAAATCATAACATCGGATCTTTAGAAAATAGTGTAGAAATTACAAATTTAAACAAGATCGTTATCTAATAGTTTTGATATATTTAGTAATTGACATTAATAATTTAGTGACTGAGTGTTAAGGAACTGAAGAATTTAACATGCTAAAAATAATCATAAAGATCTATGAGAGCTATGAAATTAAATTAAGATAAAAGTATATTTACAGGATGGAAGCAAGCATTAAAGATTATGATCAAGCCATCAAGTTGATAAATCTTTATAAGGACTTAAAGGATTAGATCAACAAAGATACTCAATTAATCAATAATCCAAATTACAGATCATAAATAGATGAACTGAAATTGCAAATTAGTAATAACAAGTAGAAGGTAGAATAATTGAACACGAACTTTAATGATGATATTAATATCTTTAGATAACAGTAAAGTTGGTGTTTGAATGATGTGCAAAAATATTTTTAAAATGATTTGAAAGATTGTTATGATTCAATTAAATCATAGAAAACTGTTGAGCACTTTTGAAATCTATATAAATTAAATTATTTTGGTATTAGACAAAACATTTATAATTTATTTCAATTATTGATTATTTGAATTAATGTCAATTAAAAATTTATAAGAATATGAACAAGAAGACAAGTAATTACAAAATGAACCAATGGAAGACATTGAATAAAACGGATTAAAAGAATTATTTGAAAACTAAGGTATCTTTATAAACTCCTGTTAAATTAGAATAATATATGAATCAAATCAATTAACTCAATGAATAAGGGGTTTTCAAAATCAAAATTTAAAAATATTAAGAAGCCTTATTATTACTGTAATAATCAGAAAAGATGTTGGAAGTACGATCAGTAGATAATATTATAGTACGCAGCAAATTGTGGCAAATAAATAGATAGAGATCTGATTATTGTCATACTCTACAATTAGGCTAGCATTTATCACTGGTAAGGATTAGAATTTATTAATAATAGTTAATGGATTTTATCTAAATCCTCATTTTATTTGACTGGAGTGATATACAATTTGAGTGAGAGCCTGAAAGATAGAGATGTAAATTCAAATACTGTGACGATTTAATAAGAAAGTGATGCAACTTTAGTCAAAAAAAAATCATTCCTTGCAAGAGCTTCATTATAACATACTGCTATATTGAGTCAATTGGGAAAGTAATATCTAATTAAAAATTAGACATAAATAGGCTCTATTATCAGCAAGAAAAGCAGCAGAAATTATGAGGGAAGTGTTTTAAAAAACATGGAAATTTTGCAAAGATTGGGTTAACAATAATGAAATTTCAGAATCAGTTACTAGCAATAATTCTAATTTGAACAATAAATCTAAGCAAAAATAAAATAAATTTTAAATGAAAGATGAAGTTGAATTTAGTAGATTAGTAATTAATTCAGGAAAGGATATATTATTAGACATGTTGAATTACTAAGATTTGGATAATATGTCAAATGATGAATAAGTGATTTTGAGAGAAGCTAAAAAGTAATTGTATTTTTGGAAGAATAATCCAAAAAACAATGAAAAACATATCCGAAAAGAATTAAATTTAAACAACAAAGAGGATGACTATCGCTCAATCTTAGGAGTTCAAAATGTTGAAGAATGGATCTAATCATTTAATATTAGCTATATCATGCATATGGCTCCATTAATTTAAAGCGAAATAACATAATAGGGTGAAATGTTATATGAGATTTCAAAAAGATTGTTATTGGAAAAAATAATTTATTTATCAATCTCTTACTTCACTATTGCAACTGAATTAAGATTTATAGAATTAGAAAAAGCAAAGCAACAAGGAATCAAAGAAATCAATACTGAAGAATTTAAATTGAGTGAATTATACCATCTAAAAGCTATTGAAATTGCATGTAAACATATTGCTTGCTCGTCTCAATATATCAATCATCTCATTACTACTTATCATAAGCATTATAATTCTAATTTAGATGCTATTCAAGAGGAATCAATTACTTCAATGGTATCAGATTTTAATTATAAAGAAATAAAATTGAAAAAGTTTAAATAATTGCAAATTCAAACCTAACGAGAAAATTAATTATTGTTTTAGAATATATCCTAGCAAAAACTCTAAGACTCTTCTCCTAATGAAAGATTAGTTAACTCTTTTTAGGGCTAGTAATCTCCATTTAAAAATAACAGTAATATTAGTGATAATATTAAGACTTAAGCCAATATGATAGATTAGATGATTTACAAAAGAAAATATTAAATACCATTTGGTATCACTTCAAAATAAAAATTTAAATTTATGAATGCATCAACTAATAATAGTTGCGAAAGAGTTAATGAAAAAATGTTAAAACTGTAGGATGGTCTTCCTATTCAATTGTAACCATATAAATCAGCTAGAACCATCTTAAATCATTTAATTCAATAAGTTCCTCACTCTCAATTCAATAATACTGGATTTTAAAAGTCCTCCTAACTTGAAAGCTCCAGAGTTGATAAAAAAAACTTTGGATAAAATAACACACCAAAAGTAGAAGGAAGAACCCCAAAAAAGTCTCCAGATAAATCTTTTCTGAATTATGGACCCAAAACTTCATTCCTTTTAAATAAAACTCCCCCACGTATTACTAGATTGGAAAGTGAACCAAATAACAATAAAACTATGAACAAAGAATTTTCCATAAAACTGGACATTTTGCAATAACAATAGATTGGAAAATCATAGTATAAATAAAAAAGAAAATGAAAAAAACTTATCATTCTTTTTAGTATTTTTGTTTATAATTATTTATATTGAATTATATAGTAATTTTCATAACAATAAAAATCCTTTTGAACTCTTATTGAATCTATCATCAGTTAATTCTAAAGTACTTCCCATGTAAGATTGTTAATGGATCAATTATTGCTACTATTAACTATTACTTCTGATTGTGTTTAATAAATTAATCACTCGGTTTTAGTATTCATTGATATTTTTATTTCTATAAGATCTATCGTTAGAGTTTAATGGTAATAATGAAGCATCTGATTTTGTTTATTTCTGGGCAATAATCTATTCTAAAATAGCAGAATATTTAATCATTCTTTCATTTAGATCTAATTCCTTTTTAACTAATAAGTCCTCCTTTTATGATAATTAATTCTCTTTTTCTTTCAACTTCTTTTCTTTTTAGATTAACTATACTTAAGTATTATGGTATAAGATACTTATTATTCTTTTTGCAATAATTTCTATTCCCATTATTTTAAAACTTCAGCGTTTGAGTTATTCTCCAATAGTTAAGATTTCTTAGTACTTAAGGTTAGCTTCAGCAAATTATCGACTTAATTCATAACTGAAAAAATTAATAATTAATCATCAATACAGAAATTAATAAGTCTAAGAATTTATTATCCATATAAAAAAGTATTAAAAGTATACTTTTAGTTTAATTTCTTTGATTTAGCATATTAAAGCTCCTCCATCTATAATTACACTCGCCTTTTGACAATTTATATTTTTATAAAATCTATAAAACTAATTTAACAATATATTGATATATGTATTTGAAGGCTCTAAGAAGAAGACTATATTAATTACTTAAGATTATTAAGACATTTATACTACATAACTAGATCTTTAGCTATCAATACAGCTTTTTTTATTTGAGTTTTTAAAATAGATAGTCTAATTTAGAAATCTATTTGGTATCATCATTATAATGAATCAATAAGACTAAAAATTTAACCTTATCTACCCATTTATATTTAGGTTATAATTAAATAAAGTTTTATTTTCTATTTTTATGCAAACAAAAAAAGAGCCTTAATTTTTGAAACCTTAATTAAGTGCAGGGACCTTAAATAAGGAACCTTTAACAATTAGATTTCTGAGACACTAAGCAAAATCTTAAGATGTATTTATTTCCTTCTAAAATTAACAGCTTTATACTAATTTCTTATAACACAAAGAACCTAAAATAGTCAAGCAACCAAAGAAATGGACTTTGAAATAATTATTAAATATCGTTGATAAGCAATCATCAGCAATATCAACAACCCGTTTTTTCAACATCAAAAGTTCAAACAAGAGAAGTCAAGAATAAAGTAAAGAGAAAGATAAAGATAAATCAGAAGTCTTTCCTATTGTAGAAGAAAAATTCGTTGAAGAGTAAGTTGGTGAATCAGCAAGAATACGATTAGTTAAATTTCTATCTTTTCACAAAGTGAATTCGAATGGATAAGTTGATAAAACAAAGCAAGGCTTTAATCTAAATTTATCTTAAATAAAACCAGAGAATCAAAGCTAAAGTAATATAAAGAAAACACTCATCAAAATAAATACTTCAAGATTCAAATAAGATCTCAATAATAGTACATCTGATTAGAGAAATCAATTGAAAACAATAAAATAGAAAATTCAGAATGTTATTAGCTCTACTGATAGAAAGATCTTAATTTCGTATGCTAATACAGCTTAATAACTATAATTAACCTCTGGCAGAAAAAGAAATAGCAGAATCGTAAAAAAGTTTTAGAGAATTATTAAAGAAATAATCTAGGTTGTAAAATACATGTTGAAATACAAATTATGGTTTTGTTATCCGATTACGTATAATCGAACATTTTTGTAGAAAGTCCTAGATAAATAGTTCGAATAGATAAAAAATGAGTTACATCAAGATCCTTAATTAGTGCATATTCGAAACTAAGTATTTTAAATAAAGTAAACAAGAGCATGGATAAACCCCTCTGCATTTAGCGTGCATCTAAAGTAATTTTGCTATGACCAAATTATTTATTTAAAATAGAAGTTATCTAAATAGTTTGGATTGCTATGAATTAACTCCCTTGTCGTATGCAATTTTGTCTAATTCTACAATATGTCTCAAAGTATTAATTAACTTAAATTAAAGTTATTACTTGATTCGCTGGCATCTCCTTGGTCACCTCCTGGATAAATGATTGATTTAAGTAAGGTTACTACCCTAATGAAAGAAATGATTCTTAAATCAAGGATGTATGATATATTACGAATTTGGAAGAGAGAGGTAAAGATTAAGCAATTGGTTAAATAATTTAGTAAGAATAAATGATTTCTTTGTGTTTTTTCTTTACAAAATTAATTTTATAATAACCTATAATTCATTAAATATTATTAATCAGATTGACATACTTTTAATACTCCATTGTAATTTTAATTTTGAAACTTATAATAATATAATAGCAGATTTTAATATAAATTTATAAATAAGTAAAAATGTAAGACGCTTAATTTTTAAATTACCAAGTTGAAGCAGAGCCAAATATTTAACCAATTAGATCAATAAAAATTCAATAGAATAAAGGCTTAATGATGATTTTTTCATCTGATTCAGAAATTTTAGAAAATGATCTGAGAGTTGATAACTCTCAATATTACAGAAAATAATTTTAGGAGAGTTATTCCCTGTTCACCACTAAGAATTCACTTTCAGGGAAATTGAAAACATTGACTCAGCCGAGCAATTCTGTAACTTCCAAGGCAAAACTAGCATCAATTCGAAAAATTAAATCGTTCAGACTTGATGAAGACACATAGAGCCAGGACGAGGAAGAAAGCCTGCCTAAGGAGTTTATGAAAGTTAATTTTCAGTTTAGACAAGACCTAATAATTAATGTTTAAAAAATCCTTGAATAAAAGAAATGATAATACTAAGAATATTTTTCACTTAATTACTCTTATTTAAATTATTTTAGAAAATTATACTATTTAATTTTTTTATATTTTATTGATTCAATAATTTAGAAACTTCATTATTTGAGTTGATCTGTGTAGTCTAGAGATTCGGCTTAGACAAGTAATTAATCTGGTAACTGACATGGTTATTTAGCACTCTAACTATAGACTGATAAAGATTTTTATAAAGTTGGATTGATGACATTTTAGATAAATCCTAAAGTGAATTTATCATATTCGTTAATGTTTTTGATTGAGGAGATTTCTTAAGCAGTTTATACAATTTGATTAGCAATTTTATAGCATTCAGCAGTCAGAATGGTATAGCTTTTGTTTTTAGTTCTATCAAATAGTATGTCACTCTCATTTTTTAATAAAATACTCCAAATGCCATAAACTTTAAAATATTTCTATCCACTCAAACAAAATTCAAGTATTTCTGGATGTATTTCATCTTTAATTTGAGATAATCTATTATGGGCATCAATTAGTTTAGTATAACTTGACTTACAAACTCTGACCATGCTTTCATATTATTTTTGAAGTCTGAAAGTTTCTAAATAAAAGAAATTCATGTTGCATTCTATTAACAATTTAAAAGAAAAAATGGTTGTCATTTTTAGTTCAGGAATCAGTTACTGTTGTTTTGTGACAAGGAAATGCAATAAATCATCCATGACGTTGCATAACCTTTAAAAAGGCATCCATCCAGCTGATACAACTTTTAGACCTTCTTATATATCATTTAAATCGATATTATTTGGAGTGGATAGCATTGAATATCTTAGTCTTAAGACATGTGGAGTTGCAGAGTTATTGAATCCCAATAAATACATATATCTGACCATCACAATTTCACATCCGCATGCTTCTTCAGCAGCTATAATTTTAATATATTCTATTTATACTATTTATTGATTCGGTTTTGTATTGTTATTATTTCTTATTTATTGTCAGCTTATAACTGAATCTTGGATGTTCCTTAATTTTTATTAGGTATAATCTCATCTATAAAATATTGTATTATCATACCATATCAACATTAGTCTTGAGATAATTATCAAGAGCATCTTTCTTTGTCAATAATGATACTCGATTTTCAACTAAAGTTTTTATGTTTTAATGAGTTAATATGTATTTAACCTCACTCCTTGATCTAACAAATAGATTAGGATTATTACTTTTCCAACTCTTATAAGAACTACTGATCTTCTTATGCAAGACCTTCTTTGCTTTTTAATTTGATGAATTGAACATTATCAATAATCTCTGGTGTTTCATGGACAAAAAACATTGTGCAAATTTATTTTAAATTAAATATAATTTCCAAATATTGTATAAAAAGTGCATATACATTATTAAATTCATAATATAGAGTGATTCATTTTTACTTAAGGCTTTTCTTAAAATTTTAGATCATTTGCTTTTTTTGTAATTACCTGAAGAAGGCTTTAAATACCTAAAGCTGTCTATGTTCATCAGCAATTTGTATGTTCTATCTTTCAGCATGCTATTCTAAAGCATTGTACGCTTTCATCAAAAGTTTACGTTAATAGAAAATTTGAGCTAATTGGTCTAAATCTTCATCAATTCTAGATATTTATTTTATAATTGTTTCTGATTTTCTATTTGGAATAGCAAAATCATTGGGTAAAGTTGGTTTAAAATGCTGGACTGATGGACGATTTACAATGATTGGTACTCTCTCTTATTTAACTGATTTAGTGAATAATTCAGTTTAATATTGGTGAACATCATCTTATTCATTCAGGATTTGTTTTTAAAGTTAAAGATTTCTTTAGAAGGCTTTATATTATGAATCCTCAGTAATTGGTTTCTATTGAGTCTAGATAAAATAATTATTTAGTATACTAGGTAATCAGCTATTGGAACATTTAAAAAGTTAAGAGATTTCTCTCTTAGAACACTTCTATGATTTATAAGATTGGCGGACAACATTAAATTAACAGATAATATAATAAATTTTATCTGTTATAAATTTTATTTCATAAAAATGTATTAGACTATCAAAATGGCTACTAATTGGCTTCATCATCTGGCTAATCCTATTTTGAGTTTGGCTGAGGGGGTATTTATGACTATTATAATTACGATTATTATTATGATTATTATTATTAAACTTGGGAATTTTGAACTTGTTTTCCAAAGACTCTACGACCAGTGTTCTTCTTTTGGAAGATTGTTGAAGGTTGCTAATCCACTGGTTATTGTGGTTATCTAATTTCACTCTAATTGTGATTCTGAAAAGGTTTATCCTATTATTTTTCTTAGTTTTCTTCGTCATCCTATTTTGGTTATTATACTTAATCAACCATTCCTTCTCTATAAATCAAAGCTGATTTCATGAGTGGTCTAGATGAAAAAGGAGGTCTCCAATTTTAAGGCATGATTGTTTAGTAATTAAATAGTAATCCAAAAAGTATTATAAACACAAATCCATAAATAAAATGATAAATGCTTATAAGTATAAGATTTCTCTTATTCTCATCTAATAAATTATTTGATGAACTATCATAATATTATTACTTTCTCCATTAAGTCATTTTATTCCAACCTTCTTAGATATCACTTGTAGTAAGACTGTATGATTAGATAATCGAAACAACTCCTATTATAATAGCAGCTAAGGAATAAAGCAATAGAGGCCATCTAACAAAAACAACTATTGAATGTTTCACATTTTCCAATGCGTAATAAATTGTGTAGAGAAACAATAAAGTAAAAAAGTAATATGCAATAATACTTTACTAAAAAGGCACAGGAGCTTCTATTCCATTCATTGAACATACTTAAATTCCTGGTATCATACTTATTAATTTAAAATTCAAATTTACCATAATGCTTATAAATATATTGTGCAAAACAAGAAACAAAAGCATAATAACCATAAAATGCAGTTTTTTTATCTTATTAGATTTTAATCTAAAACATTTCCACCGCCTTATGCATTTTGATCATTTAATGGCTCCATACTTCCGTGTCTTTAAAATTATTATTACATAAATATTTATCTTTTATTTCAATTATAATTATATATGATAGTTTGTAATTTTTTCCATCTCCATTTTATTCAATGATTGAAAAAGATTTCATTTTATTGATCTATTATTCAAATAATTTATTAACTTAATCTGCAATAAATACTGAATAATTTTATTATTATAAAATGAAAAACAAAGATTAATTGAGTTCATGCTTTCGATTAGTCTAATATTGCCTACCTAATTTAAGACTACGAAATTAATTCATATTAATAGTAGCAGTATTCGTTTTGATGATTGTTACAATATTTGCTTTATGGAATTTAGCACATTAGTCTATTTTGAATAACCTATTTTTAGGTGAGTCTGATTTATTATATGATACTTAATCAAAAATTAGATTATCATTTATGCTGAATAACTATAAATCTTATTTCTATTAAATATTTGCTTTAAGTAATGAATTATATGAATTCTAGATGGAAATGCTCTCATTTCATTTCATAGATTATATTTAAGAACTAAAAAGGAAGTTATGAAGGGCTCACTTGAAATTAATAAAAACTATTAAATGGAATATGAAGGAATGATTTAAATACCTGATCCTTTGAGAATACTAAATGAATACGGTTCAAACATCTCAAATTCATTCATGTGCTACGCTAACACTTCTGCCTACAGTCATCCATTGACTGAAGAGGAAAGAATAGGAATTAAATTATAAGAGTAAATCTAAACCTATGGATAAATATTATATTAAGGTTCGTTGATAATGCAATCAAATATTTACTCATATATCGACTTATAAAAAATAAATAACTTATATCCTTGTGTTAACAGAGGCAAAGGTATTTATACTTATGCTCCTGAAAAGAGAGATTGGTACAAAACGCTAAAATCCACATATTTCAATGCCACAAATTATAATTCATATTCCTTTAAATTTACAGCTCCATATTTATGTGATTATTCATTTATTATTAGAAAGTGTTTACATACTAAACAATAGGGTTGTCTATGACACTACCTATAGTGGATGAAAATGTTAAATTTGTAGGAGGAGTTTCATCAACATTTTTAGGTTCAAAATTAGTGTAATATCTATCAAATAATGAAACAGGATTTCAATTAATTTATTTGGTTTCAGAGGATGGCACATTAATTATGCACCCGTTTACAGTTAAAGCAGATTAGTTGCCTCTTTATATTTACAATGAAACTTATACTGGATTCAATTTGACAGATTGGGATGAAATAAAAAAGACTGATGGAATTTCTTCATGTTAATAATTTAATCTTAGAACTACGTTAAAATGTCGATATAATTCAGTTACTCAATAAGAAATGATAGTCAGCATTGAAAACCTGACCGAGTATAAAATGTATTTAATTATGTAATAAATTATTGAAGAAAATAAATAGGTTGTTGAGTAGTAGTGAATACGTTGCATTTACAAACTCATTTCATAAAACATTAGAGCAAGAGTTAATTGATGAAACAATTGTCTAAATAATATCTTTAGTAATTTTATTTTTAGTTTTATGTTTATTAATGATAGTGGCTACATAAATTTTGTTTTAGCCTATTGAAATAATAGTCAAGACAACATAACTATGGCTACATAAAAAGTAATAACATGTTTAAATTACAATTCCAAAATTTACTTAAGTTTTTATCAGTAATGAAATATAAATGCTTGAAAAGGCATGTTAGTTCATGTATAGAACATTAGAGATGCATTCATTTCATAAAACAGAGTAATGTGAAGCAATAGAGAACATAAAATATCCAATTAATTAAATAGAAATCACACCCTATTTAGAATACTATAGATAGTTAGATTATTTTAATGGATAAAGTTAAAATAAAATAAAGAATAATATTAGAGATAGAGCAAAAATTTCAAATATATTCACTTATATCTTAAAAATTTAAAGAAATATGAGACCCTAAATTTGAAAACTCATATAAGGTTTTATTGTTTTATATAATTGAATAATAATCTAATTAATTCTGTGTCTTGTCCAATCATTTTATTTAATCATTTTCATATATAAGTTAATATCAATTAATTTACTTGTATTATTTTATTTATGCAAAATTCTGAGACAGAAGAGGTATGAAATTATAGTCTATTTTTAGGAATGTCTGTGTTTGTTTGATCCAAATACCTATCAAGAAGGTTAAGGACCAAGGTTTGGAAATTGTTACCAACCACCGACCTATGACGAATTAATGGCAGCATCTACTGAAAATGGATTAAAGCTATTACCAAACAATAGAGAGAAGTTTTTTGAGTTTATTCTGAAAGAACAGGTATATAAATAATCCATTTTTAGTAAGTAAGATTGAATCCAAAGGTCTAATAATTATATAAAGATATGAATCACTCAAGTGCCGTAGAACATGCTATACATTCTGAATTATTTAAGTCGTTTGGATATGATGATTGCCCTCTTAATCATAAATTATATTTTGCCTTAACAAGGAAATATTCAAATGATCCTGAGCTTAAACCTTAAGTATTCTTTTGGAGGAACAATGTAATGCATGGTAGCAGAGTGAAGTTACACTAAATACCTCCTCCCATACCATTATTGACACTTGAAAATAAAGAACTTCAATTAGACTAATTATTGTAATCTGCCCATTAAGAAGAAAAGTTGTGTGTCATTTTTGCTGGCAGTTATACATGACCTCCATATAGAGATTCTATGCCAGATTATATTGAATTTGCCAAAAAATATAAGGATACATGCAAATGCTAATTTATATACATAAAAGAGGCTCATTTTATTGAGACAGATGAGAAAGGCAAATTCGTTGATGGATGGCCAAGAGGATATTTTGGTTTTGAATATCCTTAACATAAGAGCCAAGAATAACGATTTAAAATGGCATAAATACTCAAAACTAAATATAACATTCCAGATGAGTTCCCTATATATCAAGATATCTATCCTTAAAACCTATTTGATGAATCATTTGGTATATGGCCAGATAACTTATGTGTTTTTAAAAACAGTTAATTAATTTATCGAGGTATAATAAATTTGGATGGAACTAGGAATGCAAGCTATTCTAAAGAATTAGAAGAATTGCTTGATAATTTTAAATATTGAAGTTTTCTTCTAAAGAAAATGCATTTAAAAATGAATTTCTACATATGAAATAAAGTTCAACAGATGTGGAAAGGAAGCTGAAATTAAATATATTTTCTTTATTTAAATTTTCGACTACATTATAATAATTTATTAAATTTTTCCAATACTGTAAACAACCCCTTTTTAGAAATGATCCAGTTTGATTAGTCTCGTTACAAATTATCTATATATAATTTAATAGTAATTGTAATAAAAAAATGCATTAAAATTAAACTAATATTGATCAGAAGCACAATTCTAATTAAAATTCCAAAATAAAGAGTTTTAACTTAAATGGCAATTATGTTATTTTCATCTAGTTAAATATAATAAATTATGATTCTAATAATAATCTCATAGATAAAAAATGAATAGTTGTTAACAAAAAATGTTTATCACTAATTAATAATTTTAATAATGAATATCATAGATGATACTAATAGTAGTTATGTAATCCTGATAATCCAAAAATAATTTAAAATATCGTATATTTAGTTTAGACAAGAGTATAAATTGTAATATATAATGTTTTGATTTGTTTATATATTGAATCATATTTCTAGTTTTTGAATGTAACTCTTAATTCCATCGTTGAATCTGCTTGTGAAAATTTCAATGCATTCGTTGATGATTCCAAGCTCAGTGTTTCTAATGATAAAATGGAATTATTTACTTTTATTATCTCATATTTTAGTGACCTTTCAATTCATCATCACAAGTCTTTTACCAGTCAGTCTTTTCTTAGTTCTTTACATCTAATAATTATCCTTTAGATTCAATATCATTCTTTAATTCTAATAAGTTTTATCTCAATTTTTCAGCATCTGCATTCAAATCAGCCAAACTTGTTTCAAGAGTTTTACTCTCTAATTCATATCTGGCTTTTTATAAGAGATAAAGTTCTTCTTTAGCTTTTTCTCCTTGATGTCCAACCTTTTATAAATGTTCCAAAGACTTTAAATATTGAATAGAATGATTACTTCAATTAATTCATCAATAATTTAAACAACTTTAGAAACATTTTCATCTCCTGATGCTGCTACTAACATCTTGACGAGTCCATTATAAGGTGTTTATTTATTGTGTAAGGATTCCAAATGTTTATGTAATTTAGCCTTAACATCAGCAGCTTAGATAAAAGAACTATTGAGTTATGAAACAATTGATTTAGCTTTCTTCAATCCTTAAATAAATTCAACAGATTCTGTTTATTTCGCTTCAAATGCTTTCTATAGAGATTTATTGTAAAATAGATACTTTATCTTCTTCTCTTGTCTTATCTAAAGCAGATAATCTGTCTTTGATTTTTTAATCTTATCCTACTTTATCTTTAAGTTATTGATTCTTGGCAATCAATTCTTCTTGTCTAAGTGGGAATACTTGTTCATCTGATGCCTTTTTGGCTGAAGCTGAATCAATAACACCCTAAATTTCATCGAAACGAAGATTGCAGAGTTCTTGTTAATGTCTCAAATTCTATGTATTTTCTTCTAAGTCACCTTATGCATTAGTTTACATGGATTTCAATTGATGAACGATTCCATCGATATTTGAGCTATGCAATTATTATTACATGGTAATTACTCTTCACTTGAAAGGGAGATTTGCATTGTAGCTATGATTGTTTTTCCAAATTCATATTGGGATAATTCAGAAAGTAATTCATAGTCATTTGCTGTGACTATCAAAGCAAGACATACTAAGACTATAAACTTCATATTTTTAATATTATTAAAAACGATAATTTGTGATAGGATTAAAAAAAGAAAAAAAATTGAAAAATATTTGTGCTTGATTAAGAAGAAACCTAAATAATTCATTCCTTTCAAACTTAGATGTTTGAGAAATCAGCACTTTCGACAACAGATAAAGCTTATTCACTGATTCCAAGTTCTCTCGTGAATTCATTCTTTAAGTTGGTGTAGGTATCGGTTTCTTCAGCATAGGTGTTATTCTCTAATTCAAGTTCAGCAGTGTATTATTTTCTGTCGGCCTCTCTTTAATCTCTGAATTCAGACAATTAGTCGATCTTTTCTATAATTTATCAAAAATGATTTATACCATTGGTGGCTGTCAAATCAACATTGACTCTATTGATTTATCTTTAGAATTCAGCATATTCCTCATCTAATTATTCAAGGTATTCCTCGTGATCAGCTTAAGCTTAAGCTTCAGCAGCTGTTTAAGCATTAATTGAATCAACAACAGCATTTCTGAATTCGTTAAGAGCATCAACGATTTAACCAATGATTCCTTGATCAGAGAAGTTTTAGTTTGAGGCTAATGAAATAAGGGCCTTAATCATTGGAGCCATCTTGGATCTTGACTTGATCTTTTATTCGATGTTCTTCAAGGAGTTTTAGAATCTCTTGACTTATAACAATGATGGGTTGGTGAGTGTCTCAAGAAGAGCAAGAGCATCATCGACTGCAGCAGTTGCTTCATTTAATTCAGCAATTTAGAGTTCGAAATCTTCATGTTCTTATTCTCTTACAAGAATTGCTTCATCGTAATTCTTTCTATTGCCCTCTTGGTTTTCTTAGATTTGTTCAATTCTAACTTAGAGTTACTCTCTTCTTGGGAATAGTAAATTATCTAATGTGTCTTGTGTGTTATTGACGTCTAGATTTATTAATGGAAATTAATACCAATGACAGCGTCTTAGATGTCTTATTCAAGGCTAACCACTAATGCATTGTGTTCGTTGGTTCTGACTTAGAAATTGAATTCTAATTCTTCCAATTCATCTTCAAGATCGTTGATAAGCTCTTCAATAGCATCAATCAACTCTTAGACGGGTCCTCCAGCCATAGAGTGGAGTTCTACTAAGTGGAGTAATGCACTTCCGTATGTGCTCTTCTTAAGGTCTGTTGTGACTTTTGCAAGATTTCTCTCTTGCACTCTAGCTGTGAAAGCTACTGCAATCAAGGCTATCAGCAATATTGATTTCATAAGAAAATTATTGCAAATAATCAATACAAAAAACACATAGTTAAACAACAAAAACGACTAGTCTTCATTAATTTAATAAACAAATTAAAAACGCTATTCATTTCTTGATAATAAAATAAAAATTATTGTTTTCATATTATTCTCTCATTGATTAATATAGTAAAATCATAAAATAATGAAATCTCTATATGTTAATTTATAGCAAATATTCAACCAGATAATCTTCATAGAAATATCTTTTTCTATTGATTTCTATTTTTAAAATAATTCTAAATCTAAAATTAGTATAAAATTAATTTTATGACTTCATTCATATTTTTACATTCCCTTTGATGTACTGAGTGAAATTATGAAAGATTCTAGATTTTCAGTAATTCGGAGCATGAATTTTGATTGCACTATGAAAATATCATGTAGCATTAAAATAAATGAAATATATTTATAGAAATTCAAACCAAGAGCATCCAATTTTAAATAAGATTAAGCAATGTTTAAACTACAAAATTGAATTAATAATACTGATTTCATAATTATTGATGTTGCAAAATAACAAATTTAATTTATATAACCTAAGTAAGAAAAATACAATAGATTTATTAGTATAATAAAGTTCTTTAATGTTATTCAATCTGTTTTTTGCATAACTGACTTTTTAGGGATTATTGTTTATTTGATTTCCCTCAACTTCCTTATTTCTTAATATTATTGTTTAATTTTATTTTACCCATATGGATCGAAGAATACAAAACTTATGGTTACAAAAGATACTGTCAAAAATCCAACCAAGAGAACAGCACCTAATGGAGTTTTAATCAAAATAAACAACAATTGAAATGAGAATTAAGGCCATTCCATTTATTTTTTAGGTTATTTAACTTCTTCTATCTCTATTTCATGACCAAATCCATCCCTTATTTTGAGAATATTTTATTTCTCTTGTATTTCTTTTTCAATATTTTTGACTCTTTCTTAATTTTACTTTTTCATCTCCTCATTAGTCCTAGGAGTATTTCTCTCAATCCACCTTTCTTAAAACCTTTCCTTGTCTTCAAAATCTGTATCTTTTAAAGGACCTTTGAATAAAAACAGAGCTGCAATAGTTGCTTAATCTTGACTTGCACTAAATCCAACAACTAATTCATTTCTGTTATTTAAAGCTCCAATACAGATTTCTCCCTAATAATAGACTGTTCCCTCATCTATGGTAAATTCTATATATTCTGTATGAGCAGTATATGTGCCCACTAATTGAAAGATGTCTATGTTTTATAGAATCATCATCTTCCCCAACAATACATTAAAGATTCTGGAATTGCTTTCTTCATAAAATAACTAGATATTTAGATCTCAATACTTCTGCGAATTTCAAAACTAAAACATAAGTTTGGTTCTCAGGAATTTCATTGTCTATAGGAATGGTATAGGCAAAACTTTACCCTTGTCTCTAAGTGAGATAAAGGGATTGGTCGTCTGTAAATTTTATCTTTCTTCTCTAAGCTCTTTCATAATAATCCACTATTTCTGATTATCCGATATAATGATGATCCTTAAGGTGTTAAGTATTAAATTACCCTCTTATACTTGATGCCTGCAGACGATCTAGTATCTAAGAAATTTCCACAATCAATAGCATGAGTGACTCTTCGGGGGGCTATTAACTTACTGAAAGAAATCTAAAATAGAATCAAGAAAATAATCATATAAACTTTTGCGTTGTTTATTATTAATTTATTAATCCAATTTTTGGTTATATCTGTATAATAATTAGCAAAGTCATTTGTAACATATTCGATAATAACTTCAAAATAATGTGGCCATAAAATTCGATTATAAATATACAATTACATTATCATCTATATATTCTGATTGCACTCTTAGATCTGAAATTAAGATTGGTGATCATCTTTTTATAAACTTGTTCATTAATTTTATCTTACTTTTCAATTCACCAATCAATAACTAATGATAGAATAACTTACCAAATATGTATTAAATCGATACGTGAAAGACAAATCTTAATTTAATTTCATTAAAGTCATTAATTCAAACTAAAACAATACAAATGAAGCAAGCAATCTTTATAAAACTATACAATAACCACGATTATTACAATACACTCCTTCCGAACTGAAGAGGTAAATGGATTAATTACTCGAATTTAAATTATATATAAAAACCAATTGAAAATTTGATTAAATATTTTTTTAAGTATTTAATTGGATATGTCAACACCAAGTGTGAAACCAAAACTTGTTTAAACTTTTGGAAGAAAGAAGAATGCTGTTGCCAGCGCTAGTGTAAGAGAAGGAAAAGGTATAATTAAACAATAAATATCAAGGAATTGTCAAAGTTAATGGTGCTCCAATTGAATTAGTCAACCCAGCCCCTTTGAGACAGAAAGCTCTTGAGCCACTTTTGTTGTTAGGATAAGTTAGAACAGGTAGACTTGATATCAGAGTCACTGTTAGAGGTGGTGGTACAACTGCTTAGATCTACGCCATTAGATAGGTAGCATATTTTAATTAATGACTAAGGCAATCAGCAAGGGTATTGTAGCATACTATCAAAAATACATTGATGAAACATAAAAGAGAGAAATAAAGGATCTTCTTTTACAATATGACAGAACTCTTTTGGTTGCTGATCCAAGAAGATGTGAACCACGTAAATTCGGTGGTAAGGGTGCTCGTGCCAGAAGATAAAAGAGTTATAGATGACTTAAAATAAAAACAATTTATATAAATGTACATTAAGCAAACAATTCTAATTAAATGGGCTAACCTACTCACTTCAATCTAGAGAACATTCAAATTTCACAAAATTTTAAATCAAATTTCTTTAAATTTTTTTTAATTTCAAATTACTAAATAAGGTAAGATCCAATATAATCAGTGCCTAATTACAATTAGAGTTAATCCATATAGCATCTTAATAAATTCTATTTTTTAGGGTTGTTTTGTGAATATATTTAAATCATATATATCTTTAGCCTTTTATTATTATGATAATACTGTTGATTAATAATCCTCAATCGATTAAACAGCAATTGATATACATATAATTACATTTTAATAATTTACATAAATATTTATGTTCCAAACCATGATTTGATAAATTATACAAATTTAACCTAAAATTTTCAAAAATTTTCAATATTTACTTTATTAAGTAATGAAGAAAATACTTTGAAAATGAAATATCAATTAGGGAGTATATTTAAATATTTTAGAATTAAATTTCTGAATAATTCATCACAAAGTTACTTCTGGGATTTCTCCAATAATTACTGTTTTATCATTACTAGCTGAAGCTATCAATTTATCTTTTGGACTAAAGGCGGTTTCATTAACCTAATTTAAATATTAAATAAGTAATTACAGTTCCTTAATGGCCTCCCAATTTATGGATCACTTTTTTTGAGTTAAAATCCCAAATATACACACTCTTATCAGCAGACCCTGCAGAAACATAAGAATCATCATGACTCCATGCACATCTTAATAAATTCTTTTCCGCTGTATTTGCTGTAGCTCCTGTAAATACCCTAACTTACCTATTCTTTCCCTGAACATAAGGTCTTTATTTATATTAACAATTTACCTGATGTCAAAGGTTCTAACTGTCATATCCATTGAATTACTCAATAAATAAGATCCGTCATTGCTAATTGCTAATCCTGTAACAGTATCTGTATGGTTATCCAAAGTGTATTCAATCTCCTATTTTCTGACATCATAACATCTAATAACATTGTCTAAACAACCAGTGTAGAGTCTCTCTCCATTTTCAGTGAAACAAACACTGGTAATAGGATACTGAGGTATATTAAAAAATGAAATATACTTTGCCTTGAATTTCAAATGCTAATTTTCTTGTTCTTAAATCCCACACTTTAGTATAGCCTTCGTCACCTCCAGTCGCTAATAGATCTTAACCTCTTTTTGAAGGAAAACAACAATTAACATAACTTTAATGTCCTTTTAATTTTTTTAAAGGTAAATATGTTTCCATATCCCAAATTTATACAGTCTTGTCAGCTGATGCTGTGAATAATCTCACTCCATCATATTACCAAGCAATATCAAGAATTGCATTTTTATGACTACCCAAAATACCTATATTAGTGCAATTATTATAAATATCCCAAATTAAAATTTTCTTATCAAATCCAGCTGTTATGAGATATTCACCATTTGGAGAGTATTTTACGCTATACACCTCACTCTGGTGTCCTTTAATATACATCCAATTTACCTGTTAATTGTAAATGAGCAGATTATAATGTATACTTTTTGGAGGGTTCTACTTCCATTGAATAATCAGATGATAAGACTAGATCTTATTTATGCGATTTCTATAATAAATGGGGAGTATGCATCTGTAAAACTTGACTAGAAGTGTAATCTTTGAACTCTGTAAATTTAGGAACACTTGGTATTATCTTATTTCCGTAAGACATAATTTAATTATTCTATTTTTTATAAATATTATTGTTTATGCAACCTATACATATCAATTACTTTATAATTCAACACCCATTTTACAATAACTTAGATTTGGAATACTTTAGCTTATTAAGTAGCTAGTCTAGCTTTGTCTAATTATTTAGTTTACACTAACTTTATTAAATTAAGAACTTCTATTCTATGCTTAGAATAAGTTCTAATCTATCAAGATGAATAACTTGAGATTAAGTTTCTTAGCAAATAATTTGCTTCTCATTTATCAATTATTTATAAAGTGTTTAGACAACATTTCTTAATTCTTTATAATTACCGTATAAGCTCCATCATTTTTGATCTTCTCCTCAACTCTATATGATGACAATAACATTTATTAGGAATAACTTTATATTAGTGTATTAGTGACATTAATATTAGTGGAATTAGCTAATAAATTGTTTGTCTTTACAACAAATAATTGTAATTTTAATCGGAATGAGAAGATGAAATACTTGTTTATGGATTAGAATCATCACGTTGAGATTATCTCATTAGAGATACTAATGTTTACTAAATGTTGTATAAATAGATTATAAATAATGAATTTATTCATATTTTTTATACAAAGAATAAATTTTCTGATTTCAATATTAATTTGTTAAACTATATCAATTTATTATATCAAATTTAAATATTAAATTAGCATTCTTAATAGTAATTAATTTAAAGGTAAATATAGAGATAAATTCTGACATCACCCTTTTAGGATCTAAATAAGTAATGTTTTCTAAAATTTCTAAAATGTTAATGTTAAAATTTATTTAGATATAATTGCTAATATTTTAATATCCATCGTGAGAGCTGTTATGATTTTGTAAAATTAAAGTAAATAACTTGATCAAGAATAAGCATTTTATTAGTTCATTAATAGCTTTAATCCATTCAATAAAAATCTATCAAATAAAAGCAAGTGTGATGAATTCGACAGTTCAATTAATGAAATTTTTATCCAAATAATATATGTATAAAGAAGATACCCTTTATAGGATTTCTTACTTGATTTAGTGCTGAAAGATTAATATTCTATTGCAATTATGATATAGCAAATTAAATATTTTTTCTTAAGTTTGAAAATCAGCATCGCTCTATGCTAAAATTTACAATTACATATTTTTAAGATAGAAATAACCATTCTGTTTTTATTGTCTAAATTATTCAGATCATAAGTATTTTAAGGAAGAATACATTCATCCTTAAAAACTTGTGCAATTCTAAAAATTTGGTTTTATATTTTACTATCTCTCTAATTTTTTCTTTTAAAATTGAATTTTATTGCAAGTAATAGATTCTAATATTAAGTAAAATTTATACTTACAACAACCACGTGCATAATTTAATAAATTAGAATTAGGATATCTTCAATAGTTTGTGTATTATAGAAGATATTAATTTACATCAAATATTAGATTAGGTTTTCGCTCAATATAATAAAAAATGATTGCAAAGTATTAATTTATTAATAATAAATGTCGTTACTCTAAAAATTTACAAGTCTGTTTAAATCAAAGGATGATGTTTAATCCACTCTTTAAAAGCTCTTGAAACCTACAACAACGAATGAGCTCCAAGTGGCAATCAAAGGTTTCAATTAACTACTGTGCAATCAACCAGTGGCAATTTTTACAATGTTAAGATAGCGGGAAGCACTTGTGACTATGGATCCAAAACCAGAACACTTATTAAATTTATTGTTAGTAATTCATTCAAACATTTCAAATGATGACATTTGTGACTAGTTAAGATAAGTTCCAATTTATTGGTTAGATAGATTGATGACCGAAAATAGAGAAAGTTTCATTTAAATTGAGAGGATGATTACTGAACAATCCACAAATAGTTATTTACCTTAATAATAATAATCATAGTATATTTAATAACAATAAAATTAAACTAAAGTAGAAAAAATAGAAGATAAAAGAAAAGCAAGAATTGAAATGAATCAAAAATTGTAAAATCCAATTATCAATACTGAGGCTGCTAATAATGCAGATTCTCATAATTTGAAACCAAAAATGTTTTGTATTATTTATTATTCATTTCTCTAAAAGTTATCGATCAATTAATAGATTTATTAAAGTAGTAGAAAATTACAATATCCAGAGGATGAGTAGGATTTCATTTGGATATATAAGATATAGAATGTAATGTAAATGGGATTAAAATTATTATAATGTCCATAAAAATTGTATAGACCTTATTAATTATTGATTTATTAGGATCTCTTTTATTTCTAATCCTTTTTAAAGTAAGAATTAGAGGTACTTATATTAAAAGAGAATAATTTACATATCTATGAAGCCTTTTGTGAGTATTAAAGAGCAAAATAGATAATGGAGACCTTTGAACCTAGATATGAATTTAAATTGAAAATCAATAGCTCAGTCATAGATGAATATCAAAGAAATGCAATTAAATAGAAAGTGAAATCCCAATTTGAAGAAGATTAAAAAAGAAAGAAATAATTAATAAAGGAGAATTAAGAGAATATTGATTAACTAAATTTCTAAGATTTTGATTGTAATCATGATTTTGAGAGAGAAATAATAATGAGAAAATTCTTCGATAAAGGATAATCAAATCAGATGAGTTTGGATGAAATCTCATTATAGTTAAAAATCATAAACTTATGAAAATATAATAAATAATATTTATATAATGATATTCGAAATAGGTGAAATATTTACAGTCTAAGAATCATTGAAAGATGAGAAAATAGCAAAAAATTTGGATTTGGATGTTGGTTCTTTGAATGATTTTCTTGATTTGAGATCCACCGATCCAAATCCTCGTTTACCTAATAGAAGATTGGATCGAAAAGCATAAAAGAGATAAGATCAAATTCCTAAGAAATTTGAATAAGCCAAGGAAGAGAAGGAAACAGTCAAAGCCTCAGAAATAATCTCCAATATTATTAAAGATGTTTTTAAGATGGACATTAATGAATTTGAGCAAATGAATTCACCTGAAAAACTAAATAAAGAATATAAATTCTAAGAAATTGATCCAGAAAAAAGGAAATATTTACGAATGAAAATACCTCTCAATAAAAGACAGGAATAATTTGAGTAGGAGTTATTAAATGTGAAATCTGACTTAAAATTAAAAATATAAGAGATTCGCATGCCTTAATTAAAAAATGCTGGTAATAATTCTTAAAAGGATGATAATACTTTTAGTAGACCTAATTCTTAAAAGATTAAATAGAATTCAAGTTCAAATAAATTATTTTTTAATTCAAGTAATGAAGTAGATGCAATTGATTCTCACATTTGGTTATAAAGTAGATTAGAAAGAATATTTAAATTGAATTCACACAATATAGACACCTAAAAGGCATGGAAAGAATATTGGAGCAACGTAAATTGTACTGATTTTAAAACATTCTAAGAATATCAACAATAACATAAGAAACCACATCTTGCATCAGATTTAGTCACTATCAATTACGGAGGAGAGAAAGCAGGTAAATATTAAAAGAATGATAATGAGATCTCTGTAAATATTAAGAATTCATCATCACTCACGATAAAGAATAAGTAGATTACTAGTGAACATATTCTTTATTTATCAATGATTTAACCTCCTTTGATAAATCTATTAAGAGTTGAATTGATTAAAACCTAATTAAATGAAACTGCATTTAAATTATTAACTACTTTATTGAGTGAATGCAAAAGATTAGAATATATCAATATATCTAGTAATACATACCCTAGAAATCAATCGATTAAAATATTATTACTGGATTTGTAGAATCTTAAAATCTTGAAAATGTCAGACATGATGATTTCAACCAAGTACTTCTTGGATCTTTGTGAAGTGTTGGTCTAAACTAATATTTAAGAGATCGACCTGAGTAATAATTTATTAGATCATCATGCATATGATGCATTAATTACTTTAATTAAATATTTACCATCTTTAACATAAATGGATTTTCAATACAATGATATTTTATAGAGTGCAAATTTGCCACTTTAGAAGAAATAATAATCATGGGAGTACTTAGAGAAAGTTAAATTGAGTTATTAAAGGAGAGTCAATATTGTATTATGATAATTAATATTAATTTTTATGTTCTTCACATAAACTAAATTTCATAAACTGACTTCTTAGAAAGACTTATTGGCTAAGATATAAGAGTTTGAAATCAACATCAATTTTGATTCTCCAAGAACCTAAAAAGCTTTGTTAAAAATGAATAAGACTAAATATGACTTTAGAAGGAAGTATAATATTTTATTGATATTCAAGAAATAAGTTTGAAAAGCATAATGAGTTAGAATATAGAAATAAAAGGAATAATAAATCTTTGGATTAACAGTCTCTTGATTTCGAATATGAGACTTACTTAGAGTAATTATTAAGTATTCGCATAAATGACAATTAGATGATTACATGGAACTGAAAGAACAAAGAAAACAAATAAAAGAATGGTTTTAAAAAAAATAGTAAGAAGAAGATGAATTACGCGGTTACGAGCATATACCATTTAATAGCATAAATTCAGCAACTCAATTTCAATGTCAAACTAGAACAATAGATGATAAAATTGGCAAAATCAATTAAGAAAGATAGAGACAATTAAGTTTAAATAATGCTGAAGTTAAAGACGCATTGCTATTTGAATTAGATAGAAGATAATGGGAATAAGAAACCTTGGAAAGAAGACAAAAAAATGCATAAATAAGATCGGCTAAAATTATGGAGATTAAAATGAAAGCTCAGGAATAAAATAAGAAAGCTAAAAAGAAATGCGAAATCTAGAAAAAGTTGAAAGAAGAATAAATAGAAGGGGACTTAGCTAAAGCAAAAGAATTTTAGGAGAAATTGAATCAAAAGTACTTTTATTAAGTATACTTTAGAGATTTCGAAATAGCAACGAAGAAATCTAATGAAATTATGGATAAGATTGAGAAAAATAAAATATTAGAAGAGAAGATCCTATTTAGAAAGTCATTATTAAAACATGAGTAGTCTGAAACTCTATTTTAGAATATGAGAAAAGAAACTCAAACTGAAGAAAATAGAGTGAAATCAGTAGAAAGACTTGTAAAAGATAGGTAAGACAAATAATGGAGATATGAGTAATAATTATTGAGAATACATGAAAAAAGTGCCTAATCTAAAGCGATTTGGGAGACCGAATTGTGTAATAATTATGGAAAGAAAATGATATCTATAGAAGAATAGAAAAAGAAGAATGAGGATCTTATGAAGTAGGAGGCTAATAAAATGTCTAAGGAGAGAAAAGATAAATTGAGGAAACATTAATAAAATCTAGAAATAGTCTAGGAAGAAGAAAAGTATATTTAACCCGTATTTTAGCATAGGCAATGGTAATTAAAATTATAGGAGAAATTGTAAAATAAAGATGAGGTTTAAAAAAAACTTAGAATCAGTAAACTAGAAGAAATCAAACAATTAAGATAATAAAATGCTTAAAATTAAAGAGAATATTGGTATAAACTGGAATTGAGAAAAAGAAAATACGTATATCAGATTTATTATCATAAGTTTAGTTAATAAGACTTGCTATTGGTACGATCCTTAAATGCTTAAAAGAAATTAGTGTAATAAAAAAATGAGTAAGAGAAGCTTCTATTTTATTTATTGACTTCTAAGCAGAAGATGAATTCAGAAATCAGTAATAAAGAATAAAAAATCAAATTAATACATCAATAATCATCAACTTAACTATTAGAGTAAGAATTAATCTTATTACTAAATAGATAATTGAAAGAGCTTGTTCCAGAGTCAGAATTCATCGAATTACAGAAGCAGTATAAACTAATTAAAAAGCCTCAAACTGCAAATCCATAAACTACAAATAAATTATGAAATAATATTTATTTAATAACACATAATTAAGTTTCAAGCTTCCTCTTCGACCATGTCTTTCTTTTACTGTTTCTTTTACTTTTATGCCTTAAGTTATGCTTTTTCTATGGCTTTTTATTTGATAACTTCTTTAACTGACTTATCTGACACTAAGTTAATATTCTTTGCCAATTCTGTCTCCACATTATCGAGATTCTGCTTCCTTTATGCTCTTAATCTGCAGGAATTACAATAAAATATACCTATTTTTCCAAAAATTGTTTTCTCTTTTTAATCTGATTTTATCTATTTTTTTCATGGCTTAAACAGTATTGATATATAAGTCTCTGTTATATTTTAAAGGTTCATTTCTCTTTTGCTCAAATTCAAAGATACTATCATTAGTCATCTCTTTTCCAGCTGCTTTTCTAAATGCTTTAGTCCATCTTGTTTTTCTAGGGTTGTGTTAAGCTTTAAAGTGTCTATGACATTTCGATCTGCAAAATCGAAACATCTATATATTATTCAAGTGACTTATACTTTGCTATCATTTCTAACAAAGACTATTCCGTGTCCTGGATAAATAGGACCAGAGCAAAAATAACATTTTTCAATTCTCATATATATTTTATATTTTAATTTATGGAGAATTGGAATTTGATTAGATAAGAATGCAAAGATCAATCAGAATCTGTTATCGCTTACTTATTCTAAAGATTTCCCAGTCTTCGAAACCTGCTCAAGAGTTAAATTTTAAAGTCTTTACCAAATTCCTATTTGGTTTGCTATGTGTTAGACAAATGCACCCCTTTAGGAGATGGTGCATTTGCTCTTAATTTGAAAGCATTACAAGGAATTCTGATAGCAGAGCCAGAAAAGAGGTTGTTCCTTGAAAAAGAATTCTATGACCAAAGACTAAAAAATAGACAAGTCAAACATATTTTTGCAATTACATAATAAAATAAAAGGATTAACACAGGAAATGAAATTTAGGTAGACAAAATAAAATTAAATGAGTTAACATATATGCTAGATCAAACTAATTTTGTTCTAATTTGTGGCCCATTTGGTTGTGGTAAAACCACTTTACTAAAATACTATTTCGAATTACATAAACAAAAAGAGTTAACATTATACATGGATGAAACCATAGATTTCTAATCTTTAATAGGTCAATTCGTATGTACTGAATAAATTGGAGTTTTTACACATAAAGCAGGACCTTTGTTATTTTGTGAGAATATTGGAGCTTATCTGGTTTTGAAGAATTATTCTGAAACTAGTGAAGACTTCAAATAGTAATTAAGAAGAGCCTTATAATTAAAGTATGTTGAAGTAAATGGATAAAAAAAAGATATATCAAATCTAAAGGTCATTGCAGTACAAAAAGACATAATTGAAGATGAGTATGTATTAACAATGGAACCAGTTAGCTTTGAAGCACTAAAATAAATAAATTGCAGATATTTTAAAGAAATTCTCGAATACTTTTAAAATACATAATAGAAACCAGAATTAAAAGATTTATATAAATTAAAAAATAGATTCCAATATCACCTAAAAGATTATTAAGATCAAGTTTATATTCCTGAATAAGTCAGAGTTAAATTATGTTTGGAATGTTGGGAGGTATTAAAAGTAGATTTATCTTAAGTGTTTTAATTGGATTAATTGAGATAAACAACTTATTTATAGAAATATGATCATTATTTAGAGTTCAGTAAGTTAGGGTAAATTGAAATTAATCAAGATTCTCAATCTCTTATTGTATATAATCAATATTCAAGTAGAATAATGGAATAAATAATGACGTGCATATTGAATGATGAAGCATGTCTATTAGTTGGTGATACAGGCTGTGGCAAAACTACACTGACATAACATTGTGCTTAGTTATTAGGAAAGAAATTACATATTTATAATTTATCAGAAGGATCAGATTGTCAGGATCTTATTGGAGGATTCAGACCATTAAATTAAGAAACCTTAATTAAAATTAATTACACAAAGTTTCTCAAATATTTTACTAAAACTGTAGATTGTAAAAAGAATTAATAATTTATAAATTCTCTTCAAAAATTGTATGCTACTAAAAAGTTTAATATGTTAGTTAAATGTATGATTGAGACAATGTAGCAGTGTTTGTCTAAAGTTAATGATAATAAACTCAAAGAAAAAATGAGTAAATTAATGAAAAATTTGAATAGTTCAGTATAGGAAATGAGTTTCTATTTTTTGACTGGAAATTTTATTAAGGCAATGTAGAAGGGAGATTGGGTATTGATAGATGAAATAAATTTGGCAAATAATGAATTATTACAAAAGATATTGCCAGCTATTGAAAAAACTTAATTGTTATTTTATGAAAGAGGAGATGAAAATCCTATTAAAATACATCCTAATTTCAGAATATTTGGTTGTATGAATCCTGGTACTGATGTTGGTAAGAAGGAATTGCCACCCAATATTAAAAATAAATTTACAACCATATATTGTCATGAATTATTAGATAAATAGGATATTATTGATTTTATAAAAGGACTTATTGGTCATTCCTTTGATGTTGTAAAATTAGCAGATTTATATTTGAATTTAAAAGACATTTGTAAAAAGCACTAATTCAATTTGTAAACATTCTCATTAAGAAATCTAGCAAGAGCATTACATTACTTTAGAAGTTCTAAATTAAAAAACTAAAATCTAGCAATGTTTAATGGTTTATCATTGGCATTTGGAAGTGGATTAGGAAAAGATTCTCAGGATTTGTTTCATTAACAATTATAAATAAATGGTTTAGATTATAAATAATTTACACCCTCATTAAATTAATAAAACTATAGAGTATTTGATTAATACGTGGAGATATATGGATTTTAATTGCCAAGAGGATATGAATAACCAATATCACCTGAAAAATGCGAGTATTTAATAACTCCAAGTAACTTTGGTTATTTATTATCTTGTTTGAGATGTATATCAGGAACAGGAATTCCTATATTATTGGAGGGTCCAACAAGTGGCGGTAAGACTTCATTAATATATTTTATTGCTAAGATCTGTGGTTAAAGATGTCATAGAATCAATAATCACTAGAATACATAATTGGAGGAATATTTTGGAACATATAGTTAAGTAGGTAATAGTATTCAATTTGTTGATGGTTTATTGGTAACTGCAATGAGAAGAGGAGATTGGATAATATTAGATGAATTGAATTTGGCTCGAAGTGAAATTCTTGAAAATCTAAATAGATTACTGGATGATAACTAAGAGTTATTTCTACCGGAGACATAAACAACATTAAAACCACATCCTGGATTCAGAATATTCGGAACATAGAACCCAGTTACATATAGTGGTAGAAAATAATTATCGAAAGCATTTAGAAATAGATTCATTGAAATATAAGTAGAAGAAATTTCGACTGAAGATTTAACTAATATACTCAAAACTAGATGTAAATATCTACCAGAAACTCATATTCCCTTGGTCAGATAAACTTAAGTTTAGATCAATCTTTTAAGGGCAAGTGAGTCATTGTTTATGGGAATGGTCACATTAAGAGATCTTATAAAATGGGGTAATAGAATGAAAAATGCAGCAAGTGGTAAAGAATCTACAGCAATGGAAGGATATTGTTTAATTGTTGAGAGAGTCAGAGATTTGTAATTGAGAAAACAACTGCAAACTATTATTGAAAACATTTTTAAAGTTAAGTTACATCCTGAAGATTACTATATGGAAGTGCTCAAAAATAGCGGACTAATAGAATTTAGCAGTAAATATAATATTTAATGGAATCAATCCTTTATAAGAATGACAGCTTTAACTTTGAAATCTATTTAAAATAATGAACCTGCTTTATTAGTTGGTCCTCCAGGTATTGGTAAAACTACTTTAACAGCAATAATTGCTGATAAATTGAATTTATAAAATTAGCATATAGTTTGTCATTAATATCTAGAATTATCTGATTTTGTTGGAGCCTTAAGACCATCTAGAGATGCAAACTCTAATAGTCCATTTTCATTTTAAGATGGTCCATTATTAAAGTGTTTTAAAGAAGGGGGAGTCTTTCTCATTGATGAAGTCAATATGTGTCCAGAAAGTGTGTTAGAAGGATTGAATTCATGTTTAGAATAACCAGCCACACTGACAGTTAATGATCAATTTTATTAAGCTCATAATACCTTTGTTATAATTGCTGCAATGAATCCTTCAGGAGATTGGGGAAAAAAAGAATTGACTCCAGCATTAAGATCAAGGTTTACTGAAATTTTTGTATTTAATCCATTATCGAAAAATGAAATGCATACTATTGTTTAATAATTTGAATAATTACATTGTAATACTATTTGTGAAACACTTTTATCCCATGAAGATATGACATTTAGAGATCTACTCTAAATTGTAGAACACATCAGAAAATTAAGATAGACAGGATATTCTGATGAGTCAATAATTATTTAGGAATCAATTGACTTTGCCCTTGATTAAGTTACATCAATTAGAAATAACCTCTATTAAGATATGGAACTGGAACAAACCCAACTTATCCCTGAGATCAACGCATATAAACTATTAAGAGCCATAAACATCCACAATAAGCCTATTATGATACAAGGGCCACCATAATGTGGTAAAACTCATATCATTCAATATTTTGCTAAATAGAGAGGTGTTAAATGCGTAAAAATTATTTTTGATGAACAATCTGATTTATAAGAATTATTAGGCACAGATCAACCTAATAGCAGTTTAGATTAAATTTCTAAATTAGTAGGTTATTAAGTATCATCTGAATAATCTAATGGACAATTTAGATTTGTTCCAGGCCCACTTCTTGAAGGACTCAAAAAAGGATACTGGGTTATTTTAAAAAATCTCAATCTCGCTCCTTAGAATGTTTTAGAAGGTTTAAATTCAATTTTAGATCATAGAAGAGAAATCTTCATTCCAGAATTAGGTCAAATAATATAAGTACATTAAAATTGTAAATTATTTGCTATTCAAAATCCTATGACTTGTGGAGAAGGAAGAAAAGGATTGCCTCTAAGTTTCCTAAATAGATTTATCAAAATTGAATTCTAAAAGTATTCTGAAGAGTTTAAATTACAAATATGTCCCTCAATTAACGTACCTTTGGCAGCTTTGAATTTGTATAATCTATTATCTTTTAATTAAGCCTTGAGAGATAAATTGTTAATTAATTCAACAAATAATCAAATTACCTCAGATCATATTGATTCTACACTTTGGGCACAACAAAGAATTCATTTTAGTGATTTAATTCATTCTATTACTCATCTGAGATCTGTTCTTATTATAGGCGATAAACAAATTGGAAAGAAATACCTTATAGAAAAAGTGGCTAAGTATTGTAACTAATAATTAGTAAATATCTTATTAAGCAAATAAACTGATTCAATGGAATTATTAGGATAATACGTGTAAGGAGATTAGGATTCATTGTTCAAATGGCAGTTTAGTAGATTAGTAGAAGCTGCCATTAATGGAGAATGGGTATTAATAGATTCTCCAAGTAGAGAATTATTTCCAAAATTAAGTCAATTTATTGAAGAAGACCATTTTACATTATTTGGAATTGATATTCCTATAAATAGTAAATTTAAGATTTTTATTACAACAGAATAATTAAATTTGCATCATAATGTAAAATTATATTTGCAAATGCATTCAACATATGAATTTAAATTATCATATTATTAAGATATCAGAAGAATTATCTATCAAGATTTTGAAGAATTATGTGATCATCAAGAAATAGTGCTACATTACTTTTAAAAATATGATAGCATTATTCCATAATAATAAGTAAAAAGAATGTTAAAAAAATTGAGAATATAAATTGAATCTATTTTATTAACTTAGGAATTAGTTAGTCAATATGAAATTTAATTATTATGCGATCAAATATTTTCAGGCTAAGAAAATATCTAAAATATTAATCAATAGAATAGTCTAATTAATTTAAATATCATATTCAAAATTGATAATCCAATAATTGAAATCAAAGATTGTTCACTCAAAAATGATAGTTCTATCATAATAAATTAGGCACATAATTAATCTTTAGTTAAACGAATTATTAGAGAACACAATAATATTTATTTAGAATATTTTAGTTTTGGCGAATAATCAATCCTTTAGCAATAATTTGATACAATGTTATCAACTAATCTACAGTTGTTTAAAGAAAACTCATTTAAACTGAAAGAATCCTCTAATATTTAGATTCCAGAATTAAGTAATTCATTAGAAGGATTAGTTCAATCTATTGTTAAAGTGAAATTATTACAACAATTAGTCTCTATTCTCCAATAATAACATATAAATTATACTGATGTTAAATTATACGAATTTATGCTCAGATAAAAGAGCTTTGAATTCTAATACGATACTGATTTATAGAATAATATGATAAAGACGATTGAGGATTGGAGGAAGTAAGAAATCTTTGATTATATTATCTTTGATAAGAGAATACCCAATATAACAGAAGATATTGTACAATTGAAAAATAAAGTCAATCTATTAAGTGAATAATTAAGAGAATCTGAAAATCTGAAAGAATTTGTTTTACTACTTAAGTAGTGTTTATAAAGTAAGCCTTTGGCAGCAATTGACTCATGGGTATCAAGTTTATTAAAATCTTAATTCCCTTTATCTTTTAATGAATTCCCTCTAATATCTGATTAATAGAGTGTTTTGAATCATTATAGATATTATTTAACAAAGGAAGTCAATTTTGAAAATAAATTAAACATCGATATATATCAACTGCAAACTCTTTTCAATTATTAGAAAACTGATTTATCTCATCAGGAACTTCATTTTGTTTTAAAGTTTGTTCAATTCTACATTGATTATTTGAATGTTAATCCAAAAATTTATTCCAATCCCTTAAAGATATGTGGAAGTGATTAAATATAAACATATATTTAATATTTGAAGAATAGTCATTCAAAAGTTGATTTAAGTCAAACTTAATAAATTTTATTATAAGGATTATTGTAGGCTCAGTTATTTGAAATTCCATTCTACTAGTCATTATTAAATAGATTTTAGTTTTCTAGATCTTAACATACTTATCATAATAAAAAAGTAGAAAAAACCATGACAATTGAATTCTTTTAGAAGATAATAGACCTAACAGAAGATGATCTTATGAAATTATCTTCAAATGAAATCCAATTGATTATCCTTCAACTTTATTAAGAATAATTAGAATAAGCGCAAAATGCATGTTTTGATTCATAGTACCTACTTAAAGGGTACTACTAGGAGAAACACTAATAATTAAGTTAATTATTAGACTCTACAAAACAAAAAGTAGATTAAATTAAAGAGAGGTTGTTTATAAGAGATCCTAACTAAACAAATTTAGAGGCTACAATGCAATTTATTTAAGATCTAAAATAAGCATTATTAACAATAAGCAAAAACATGAATATATCCTACATTGAAGCTTGGATAATCCAATCATATGATAAATATTATTATGGTTTTAAGGATTTCCTTTAGCCAATTTATGAGTCTTTAATGTTTATCTAATATCCAGTTGAACCAACAGCTCAACTTTCCAATAGTGGATTCAAATATTAATTAAGAAGTTTGAAGGGATAAGGATTTATTACATTCTCTGATTAAAAACTGATTAGTTAAGAAGAGAGAGATGTCTTTAAGATGGATGATGCTAAATTGTATATTCTATTAAGTAGAAAGATTAAAGGGTTAGTTGTTGAATAATATAATGATAATACTGTAGAAAATGAATAAAAACAATTAGAAATATAATTAAAGAAGGAGTTGAACCAATATAGAGAAGAATTAGAGTAAGTTGGAAAGGTAACAACTGAGGAATTAAAACATAACGTAAGAGAAGAGTTAAGTTAATTAGATATTCTAAGCAAGGAATTCTTAGATTACATTTTAGAATTAGAATCTTAAAACAAAAATCCATTGATTATAACAAAGATGTTTGGTAGATTTATTTAGCCAACTTTGTCTATTTCCGATGAATTACATATTGATGCCTTTCTCTATAGATTGCAATTTAATAAATTATAAAATGTGTATAAATAGACTGATTAGGATGAAATAACTAAAGCAACTGATTTATTGATGAAGACTTTAATTAAAATAAAATAAATCTAAGAAGATGATTTATTTGCAGAGAATGAAGTTATCTAAAGTATGGGAGTGTTCATAGTTCACTTGTTAAAATAGTAGGCCTATTCAACCCCATTAATCAAATTGATAACAGGTATTGAATTGCTATTGGAAAAAATTGAATTATGGGATAAAACAGTTCCGAAAGAGTTTAAAATCTATGGATACGATTTATAAAACATTGTTATTAAATGGAGAAAAATTGAAAGAGATGGATGGAAATATATTTTGGCAAATAAGATTTAAGAACTTTGGTGCGTAGAAAGTATTATACTATTTAAGTTATTGAGAGATTTATCTCATAATTCTCTTAAAACTTATTTGAATGAGTGTGACATAGGAGTTTTTGAAATAAGAATAATTATGCTTAGATAAATATTACAATATTTGAATTTACAATAGAGATAATTGATTTCATAACATATTGAATAAAGCTCAATTTTTGTAGAAACGTATAATTAATAATTAGGATCAACTGTCTAAGGTTATATAAAGGAAGTAGCTGAATATCGTAAATTAGTAAGTTGGGAGTCTAAAAACTATATTATTGTTCAATAAACATCTCACAAGATGCATGGAAAACTAATAAAAGTTTAAGGTAGATTCAGAGCTTATTTGAATGAGAAGATACAAAAAATCGTTATCAAAACCCAATTACAAGATGAATTTACTGATTGTGTAGACGGATTCTTACTCAAATCTAAGCAATTTTAATAAAAGCCTTAAAATAGCAGATCATTCCATTCCATGCTTTAAAATTTAATTGAGTAAAGTTTAGAAAGAGTGAAGAATTTGAAAGAATAAAAATCAAATTCCAAATTAGCAGCATTAAAGAACTTTTAAGAATATATTAGTACATTTTTGGGTCTAAAATTGCACTAATCATATAAGGAAGATAATCACTTATTACAAAATGAAGCTCATCCATTAATCTCAAAATCTTCATTTTATTATTATAAGGCAATTTCTGTAATGGAATAATCAGTTTTATAAATTGGTAAATTTGTTCCTCCTGAATACAATACTAAATCATTTTCGTTAATATTAGATTATATTAGGAAATTGAATCATTAATTTAAATTGATAAGACCATTAATTAAGACAGAAAATGAGTCAATTGCAAAGAATGTATAAGTAGTTCCATAAGATTATCTTAATTGTTTCAAAGATACTGATATTTATGAATAATTAATCACATTTAATAAAAATTAAGATGAATAATCTTTGTTGAAATTACTTGCTTAAATTGAATAAAAGTTTCATAACTACTCTGATAAATATGAAAATACTTATCACATTCTCAAACAACTTCATGAATATCTATCATTAATTAACACTCATGATTTAAAGTAGAATATTGAGAATGAAGAAAAATAACAATTGAATTAGGAGAAGATATAGATAGTTTATGTCAAATATATGAAAAATCTTGAATAAGAAGAAAATCTATTGGCAGGCGAAATTAAAATATTAAATTCATTTAATAAGCATGGAATAGATTAATCTAAATTAAATTTGGTAATCAAAAATTTAGAGTATAGTTGTAAGTTTTTATATTTTATGACCAGTATTCTATGTAATATCATTGTTAAAGGATTTTGTTAAAAAGATGATGATTAAGATGAAAATGGAGAAGATAATCCAGAAAACTTTTAGGCAGGAACAGGAATTGGAGAAGGAAAGGGAGAGCAAAATGTTACTAAAGAAATTGAATATGAGGAATAATTATTGGGAGAACAAAAATAATAATAGTAATAATAGCCTGAAGAAGAAGAATAGGAATAAGAGAAAGAAAAGGATAAAAAAGAGGATGCTTTTGATATGAAAAATGATTTTGATGGATAAAATTAAGAATAAAGTAAAGATGAAGAAAATGAAGAATAAGAAGAAGAATAGGAAAAGAATTCAATGGATGAAGGATTCTCATCTGTAAATGAAGACAATGAAGATATGAAATAATATTAGGGAAGCGAAGAAGAAGAAGAAAACGAAGATGAATCTAAATCAAACAGAAAGAAATCAGACATTGAATTTAATGCTGATTAAGAAAAGGATGATAAAAAAATACAAGCTAAAGAAGAAAGAGAGCAAAAATAAAATAACTAAAAGAGAAATATGAAAGATTTAAATGAAGAAAGTCATGATATAGATAGTTAGATGGAAGAAGAGGAACAAGATGGAGATGAAGAAAATGATGAATCAATTGAAGAATCAGGAGAAGATCTTAAAGATTATGCAGGAAAAGGAGGAGAGTAATTGGAATCTATGGATGAAGAGGATGTAGAAGAATTAGATAATAACTAATCATAAAATTAAGATCAAGAAAATATAAGTATGAATGAAGAAGAAAATCCTAATCCAGAGGAAATGCCAATAGAAGAGGAAGTTAAATTTGATGAACCAAATATGGATCAGGAGGCTGAGAAATAAGATATAGATGAAGATATTATGTAAAAATAGGCAGAAGAATTGGAGAAATAGGATATGGATAATATAGAATAAGAATAAGATCAAAATTAAAATTAACTATTTAAAAATTAATAAGATATTGAAAATTAATTAAATGAATAAGCATAAGACTAGGGATAATAAGGTGAAGAAGGAACCTAAGATAAAGATGATAAGGAGAAAAAAGATAAAGAATAAGATAATAAGAACAAAAAGTAAAGAGAGTAAGGAGATGATGGAGGTGATTCTAAATTAGAGATGATCAAAAAGTTATTTGATGCAATGGAACAACATTTAACAAAAGAAGATATGGATAATTTCAAAAAGGATCTCAATGTTCATGATAGTGAATAAGAAGATGTTGACAATGAAGAAGCACTTCAGGATAATGACTACAAAGTATCTAAAGATTAAATCCAACATAAGAGAGAGAACACAACAAATTTACCAACTAAATTTTAGTAAAACGAAGCTTAAGAAATGAAAAGAGAGGGAGAAGAAAACAAAGAAAAGGGGTAGGGCAAAAACATGGATGAAGAAAAAGAAGAAAAGAAAGATTAAGAAAATGAAAATAAAGAAAATGAAAATATTAATTAGAGTAATAAAGAATTCATCATACCACAACCTATTGAAATTGAGAATAAAATTTTGAGTGATATCCCAATAGAAGAATACATCAAGTAATATTTTCGATTGGGATATGATTTAAATGCTGACATTAATCTTTAGAAGGGATTAGAAATGTGGCCTAAATTGTAATAAGAAGTTCTTGAAAGTTCAATACATCTCTGTGAAGAACTTAAGTCTATTTTAATAGCCACTTAGGTTTCTGCTCTAAAAGGAGATTATAAAACAGGAAAACGATTAAATATGAAGAAAATTATACCATATATAGCAAGTAATTATAGAAAGGATAAAATATGGTTAAGGAGAACATAACCATAAAAAAGGACCTTCTAAATACTCTTAGCTTTAGATGATTCATTAAGCATGAGTGAAAATTAAGTTGGATATTTGTCTCTTTAATCTTTGACATCATTATCATTAGCTTTATCTAAAATGGAAGCAGGCTAAATAGGAATAGCCAGTATTCATGAAGGAATGAGGTTGTTACATGATTTTAATAAACCTTTTACTTAATTAGATTGTCCATTCATCTTAGGTTAATTTAATTTTGAATTTGAATCAAAATAGAGCAGTGAATTATCTTTAATGAGGTTTATGAGAGAATCAATTGATAAATTCAAAAACATCAGAGTTTCTAATGCATAATAAATTTGCTTTATTATGTCAGATGGTAAATTCAACAAGAAGATGGTGAGACCTTTAGTGAGAGAAGCAGAAGAACTCTAAATATTTTATGTATTTATAATCCTGGATAGAGAAGGTATAAAATTGATCTAATTTAGATTAATCAATAACAAATATCAAATCCACTCATTACGTAACAGTTAATGAAAAATAAAAGATTGAAATAAGAAACTATTTAGAGGATTTCCCATTCAGATACTATATTATAATTAAAGTAAATTATTTTATATATTGTAGTCTCCACATGAATTGAATCATGTACTTGTAAATATTCTTAGATAATACTACCAATTATTAGAATGAGTGTATTGTTGTGATTGTATATAAATACATTTTATATAAACATGAATCAAAAGGTAATTAATTTTTTTGATTTTCTTGCAGGTTATTCTTTCCTTCTATTTTTTTTGATTTACTTATTTTTTGTTAAGGGGATGATCTCTTCCATAGCTCTAGCTTTGTTTTCTCTTCTGATTTCTCTTTTAGATTTGACTCTGACTCCTTCCATTGCATTAATCAAATCGTCCGCTTCATCATGCTGAACCTATTCATTTTATGATTATTCATTCATATCAATTTCTTCTTCAACTTCAGGTTCTGGCTTGAAAACTACTTCCTAAACTGGCTTTCTTCTTGCTCCAACAAATTAAGTGGCAGTGTAGGGTAGTGATTAACTTCTAAAATCAACTATGGGTTAAGGTTTCAATTTAGGAATTTAGGCAGTTGGGTCATTTGGATGTAGAAACATATTTTTTGGTTGAGTAGGTCTTTGAAATCTCTAAAGAAAGATAAAAGGAACAAATTTACATTTTGTATGGTTGCCTCTAATTTTTAATTTAATTCATTAAGATCTTAATTGACTTTAACATTTTGGAGATGCTCTCTTTTGAGTGATCTCCATCTACGCATAACCTTAGATCTTTATGATTTTGCCATGAATTAAAAATTTTATATTTATTTTATAATGCACTATGATATATTTTCAATCGAATAATTTGGCCAAAAATCCTTTATCCTATTTCTATTGTTGTTGGTTGGCGACTGGTTATTGTTATTATGGCTTTTGTTATTGTGGTTGTTATTACAGTGGCTAATTTAATAATCTAAGTTACTAGAGTTGGTGGGACTTGGCTAGCTTATTGCTACTATGGTAGTTGACTAATTTAAGGAGGTTAAGTAGGAGCCTGATTAGGTTGTTGGACATATCCTTATTAGGCAATTAATTATTGTCCTTAAGGTTGATAACCATAGACTAAAGGTTATGTTTAGATGACAGGAGCACCCACTCTAGTTTGAGATGCTTGGTAAAGAACTGGGGTTTAGGGATAAGTTGTAGTTATTGGAGCAGGAGCTTATACAATTTGAGACGCTTATCTAACTCTTGGACTTGATGTTTAATGGACTGGGACTGGTATCGCTTTTTAAACGGGGAGAGGTTGCTAAATATATTAGGTAGTGATTGGCTATTGATATGTTGTATATTGAGTTTAAGGAACATTCTAGATGATTTATTACTAGACAACTGGTTTAGTTACTTCTGTGACTATTGGTTATTAGACAGTTTAGACAATCGGAGTGGCTGTTTAGTATGTTTGGGTTGTCACAACTGGTTAAAATTACGTTTACTGCACTTGTTGTACAGTGTTCTAATTTTAATAGAAACAGATTACTTATAACATATTTTATCTTGTAACAGTTTAGTATTCTACTCTTTCTGCAACCTTTTCTACTGGCACGTATTCAATCACTTTTTCTTATATCACTTAAGGAATATATTCAGTTTCATATTAAATAGCTTGGTATTCAGTAATTTATCTTGTTACTGGCACCTGAATTTATCTTCGCACTTCCTCATATTCCATAATAGTCTTTTCATAAGGAATGTACTCAATTCTTGACTCTCCTTTGACAGCTTATCCAGTCTATATTAAATCCATTATTTACAGAGACTATGTTAGAACTTATCGCGGATGCACCTAAAACTGGTTGATTAACTAAAATTCCACCTCCTTAATATAATCCACTTTGACTCAAATTCTAATTTGTTATCATTTATTATTAGTTAATTGAACTTCCCAATACTATGGGTCTAACGAATTAAGGCTAACCTGCTAATGTTTGAGGTGCTACGTAAAGAGCAGGCTATTAAACAATTGTTTATGGTTAATACTCGGTCATTTCCTTTTAATAAATTTTATTTTAATTCATTTGAATCCCATTTATTTAATAAAAATATTCTTGATTAGATTTATTTAATTATTTTGTTTTTCATGTTTCTATCCCAAAAAATTATTCAATTTAGAACTAAACAATACTTAAAAAGTTATTAAAATTAGAAAAAAAATTAGAATCATTTAAAAGAAGTCAAATCTTCTTAATGAGGCAAAATATAGAAGCCTGTTTAATGCTTTTTGGAAAATATTATTATATAAAAACTTTCTTAATTATATGAAATTATTCTATACATTTGAATTTTGGATTCCTATATAGATGACCTAATATCCAAAGGTAAATTGATCTAAGATTAACCAAAGTTCATAAACTAAGAAGGAAGGTACGCAATTAATATTTTTGATATTATATTAAGAGTTGCCGCTCTCATTAAATTACTTTCTTTTAGAATTGATACTAAGCTCATTTTTGGTTAATCCAAATTTACATTCTTAGCTAAGAAAATAGAGAATTTATTTTTGATGTAAATTAAAACATTATTATTTAAATAATTTTTTTGTATAAATTTATAAAAACTAAATATCAATATACATATTTTCACAAAGAAGATGTGATAATAGTTGCAATGCATTCAAATATTTGATTATTTATATCAATAGGCCATTAAGACTTAAATTTGTTACTCAAGTTGTATTATCATCTAAAACTTGCGATCCAAATTCTTGTTACGAAAAAACATTAGTAAGGTTATAATATCAAATTGATTTACACTATTGTATATATAGAGGATTCATCTCTGCCTCATCATAGTCTAATTATTTTCAAAATAATTGGATTCTAGTTATAAATATTGCTGATTTAATGTCATTTGAAAAATTAATTTTAGGATATAATTATAGATGAATAATCATATATTCTAAATTTATGGGGAATTCTCATAAAAAATCTGATTATGGAGTCATTGCAATTCTAACAGAAAAACCATTTTACTTTGCGGGCGACTTGGTTAGAGGTGAATAATGTATGTAGTTTTAGGTAATATCTTTTTAGCGTTTGTAATACAGGTTATTAAGGAAATATCATTGAATTTACAGTTCAAGGGAAAGAGACAACCGAGTGGGAGGAGGGAAGTGGTGAGGAACAAAGAACTTATAAAGGGATAAATAAATTCTATTCTTAATCAGTTCCTATTTACACATTCTAAAATCAGATAGCTTAAATTGGATAGTATATTTTTCCTTTCCAATTTTAATTGCATCAAAATCTTCCTGGATCATTCTACCATAAAAATCAATACGATTGTGGCTCGATATGATAAAAAGTGAAAGCAAAATTTACATCTACATAACCAAATAAACCAAGTATTATAAATAAATAGGAATTCATGGTTAGAGACCAATCAAGTAAGATGTGGTTGGATAATAATTGGAAAGTACAACTAATCTTACTACTTGTTGTTGTAAGAATTAAGGGGTATTTGTGAGAAAATTATTTTTAGAGTTCAAGAGTCAAGAGTTTCTGTAAAACAAATCATTATCTTCCAGGAGATACAGCATAAATAATTATTGAGGTCGATAATTCGAATTGTTATTTGAATATTGACTATTTTTAAATAGAATTGCATTGGCCCTATTTTATTTGAAGTTGGCCTATCCTTGAGAACTTGATTAATTACTTTGATTATTTGGAGCTGTATTTATTTACCATCTAAAACTTTCTGTCAAAATCTAACTTGTCTGCCTAAGAATATTTCCTAATTGTATCATTTTTTCCACTTCCTCTTGATTTAAAAAATGAGGATTGCTTATTTTATTACATGATAAACCTCTTTTTTATCATAATATTATATTATGGATTTTGATTTCAACGAAGCTCAAAACTCATTTCAGTTCCTCTAAGCGTAAAATAAATTGCCAATTAAGATGTCTCACAAACTTGAACTTCTTTTAGAGTGCATCAATAGCTAAGAAATTGACACGTCTGTTTTCCATTCATTAGAACTAGAAGAGTGTCAGACATTTATGAAGTTGAATAAGTAGGCCCAAAAAGAGATGTTTATGTCGATCATTAAGGGATGTGCATATGTAATGTTGATATTATTTATCAAAGGCTAATATGATCCCATCAGCAATAGGAGAGATTAAAGGAATTATAGATGTTAGAACCAAAGTGCTAAAAAGTTGGAAGTAAAAAGAGTTTAAAATAGACTCTAAATAAAGAACCTTTGAAATATTGAGAAAAAAGAACAGCAAAAAAAAACAACGAATTATCTACCTCTAATATTATACTGTATAACCCTAAGAATTCAAAGATAAGCGCTATCGATTTGTTATTATTGCCAATTCTGAAGGTCATGGTTACTACAAAACATTGGTTTGTGGATCTGATGATAAAGTACTTTATGACAAAGTGATCCAGGCACTTAAAACGATATCGTAATTTAAAGATCACGTGATGAGAGGAAGTATCCTACTTGAATCAAATGATTTTAATTAGCCAAGGGCAATTAACAATTAACAATCTTTCATTACAACTAGATAAGATATGAAATTAGTGACTCAATCAGAAATCATTCCGCAAAAATAAAACATGAATATTAAAATCACAAAGCAAACAGTAGAACCCGATATTAGGCCAATTCAATAGTAATAATAGCAATATTAATAACAAACCCTTTCTTAGAATGTCAAATAATAGCCAAATGCAAATGAATAAGTTCTATAAAGCGATTCCACACTCAAATAACAACAATATCCATAAAATATTTAATAATAATAAGTTTAATAACCTATAATATATCATTAATAAGAGCAACAATAATAATTGCTCTAATACTAGCAATAATAATTGTAATAGTAGTAATAATAATAACAGTAATAATAATAATAATAATAATAATAATAATAATAATAATAATAATAATAATAATAATAATAATAATAATAATAATAATAATCTTAATAATAATAATATTAATAATCTTAATAATAATAATAATCTTAATTATAAAAAAGTTAAGAAGAATAGTATAGATTATAATAAGATTAATTAAATTAGCAACAAAAAATAGATTAATAAAGATCTTAATTGTAAGAATAATTAAGTTAGTAAATACTATAATAAGAATAGTCACAAAAGATTTCGAAATAAGTATTGACTACTCAGTAGGCAAATGAAATACCTTAAATTAAAAATGAACTAAAATATCCATAAGTTTTTCAAATGTTATTTGAAGAGGGTAAATTTAATCCTGATTACTTTACTCAATCAAATAAATAATTCACTCAAGTTTATTCAAAAGATGGAGTATAAATATTGAAGGATTAAGGTAATTCACTTTGTTTTAGATCAACCTTAACCATATATAATGCAGATATTGATAAGGTATTTTAATGTTTGGCTGAAATCGATTTTGTGAAAAAATGGAACGCAGTCATCAATCCTAATGAAACAAAATTATTAAATCTAATGTAAAGCGAAAATTGTGGTATCATATATGAAAGACATAAGCCATATGGATTACTTTACTTGCCAAGAGATTTTGTTTATTTACGGTATGTAACATACAGAGGGGATGACATTTTGATTGTAGACAAATCAATAGAAAATGAAGATGCACCTCCTTACATGAAAGTGATTAGGGGAGAAATTAATTACTAACTAACTGAGATAGTTAACAATGAAAATAATATTTTAGTCAGAATTGAGACAGAAATAACGAATGGTGGTTTATCGTCTGTGAGTCAAGACTGTGCAATTACTTAATGGTATTTAAGTGAACTTTCCCATTTTCAATAATTCTTAAAGACATACTCTGCAGTTTAAGAGATAATACAATCTCCTCTATTATAAATATTAAAAAGCACAAGACCAAATAAATAAAAAGAAATTATAATAATAGATTAAGGAATATCCAGTATTCAATAATAATAATAAATTTTGTAACCACAATCCCTTCAATATACTCCTACAAATTAATAGTAAAGTAATATAGAACAATAATCGGTGATTATTAAAGAAGTGTACTAACCTTCTCCTGTGACAACAGCATATGATGAATAATTCAAATTTGATTAAGTTAATGAAAATCGAAGGATCACTTTAGATTAACTCCCAATAATAGCCACTGTACCAGAAACTCCCCCCTTAACAATTGAAAATCACAAAGAAATAAATGAGATTTAATAATACAATAAAGATATAGAAGATGCTGATTTAAGTAATTACACTCCTAGTGATTTCATCTAATAGACATTACCTGAATTATCAGAAAAAGAGATTTCTTAAGTTAAACAAATGATAAAAAATATTGAACAAGGTTTATATGATTATACTTCTAATTGTATAAACCATAAATATATCTAAGAACCTTAAAAGGTCAAGGATGAATACATCACTTAGATAAATGGAGGACATTACTTTTTAAGATAGGACTGGAAAAGAGATATGAAACATGGGGGAATGATATTTTATAATTAAAAGAAGATAGAGGCCTAAAAGAGAGTTATTAAATTCATGTTAAAGTCAATTGGATCTAATCTGTTATCTGGTAAATCAATATTAAATATATCATTGCCTGTTGAAGTGTTTGAAAGCAGATCAAATTTGGAAAGATTTTGTTATTCTTTTACATTTGCACCTTAGATTTTGGAAAAGGCAGCTAAAATAGATAATATACTTGAACAAATGAAATATACGATAGCATTTGGATGCAGTATTTATTTATTGTAAATTAGGTTCAATTATTATGTATATGTCTTTAGAGAAGCCATTCAATCCTATTTTGGGAGAAACATATTAAGGCTTCATCAATGGATGCCCTGTTTATGCTGAGTAGGTGAGTCATCATCCACCTATCAGTGCTTTTTAATTGAAAGGTAGAGGATATGATATTGACGGACACATTGAATCAGCAGCAAGTATGCATGCCAATAGTGTTACTGGAAAGAACATAGGATTTATTAGAGTGACCTACCACAATACACGTTCAAAGCAAATTTTTATTTAATGTCCAGGAGTATTAACAGGAACTGCGTTTGGAACGAGAGTATTTAATATAAATGGAAGATCGTATACAATTGATTTGGTATCTATAATTATCATTTAAAGGAAAATAATCTAATTGCTGATATGGCATTTAATCCTGGAAGCAAGAATGTATTCAATAAGAAAGACTTATTGTAAGACCAATTTATTGGTTATTTGTACAAAGTAAAGCCAGGAGTATTGAATAAATATAAAAAGGAGGGATATGCAAAATATTCTGGAATTGATTTTGATAAGGATGTTGAATAAAGAGTAAGATATTTTTATAAATCAGTTTTTTTCCATAAATGGTATCTGGAATCAAATGGTTGAATTTGATGGGGTTAAATTATTTGATACACTTGAGATGAATCCTCATGTAATGGTTAATCATCCTTGTCCTTTGCCTTCGGACTCAAATTTCAGATTGGATATTCTGTATTGGAAATTGAGGGATTTTGATAATTCTTAAAGGACAAAGGAAATATATGAGGTGAAATAAAGAAGTGATAGAAAATGGAGAGAGAAACTTACAGGTAAGAAACATTGAGTTTTTGTATTGTATATTTTAATATAAAGTTTAATATATGGATAAATAAAAAGAATTATACCTAAAGGCTCTTTCCCTTATTAAATAAGAGAAATATAAAGAAGCATATGATGAATATTTGGATGTTTTGCTATTGAAAGATTGTAAATCCCAATTATTATGAATAGAAAAAAACATAGAGTACAATATGTTGAGTGGATTGTGCTTTTAAAAGCAAAAGAATTTTAAGAAAGCAGAGGAATTTTATCTTTACACACTTGAAAAAAGGCCTGAAGATCCAAAAATATTAAATGCTCTCTTTAAATTGAATAAGGATGATATTAAAAATAAAGAAAAAGCAATTGAATATGGCTCAAAGCTAATAACAATTTAGTAAAATTTTCTATAATGCTTAGCAAAAAAACAGATATTGGAAAGGCAATGGAAGCTATAGTTGGATATTGCGAAATTTTACATGAAATGTAGGAGAGGAAAAAGTTGGATGCTTATTTTCTGGAATTATTAAAACATGGGTCAGCAGAACAAATTTTTAAGGTAGCTAAATTATATATTCCATTAATTATTGATCTTAAATTAATAGATGTTACTTAACCAAAATCATTTAACTCTATAATCTCACAATTTTCACAAAAGATTTATAATTAAACACCAAATTTTGAAATAATAGAAAACATAGCTAGAAAAGTAGTGTCGAAATTCCCTCTTGACTATAGAGATATTATATTTGGATTAGCCATTTCTAAAGAGCATTATGTTGTATTGTTTGATTGGCTAGAATTACTTCCTTCTAGTTGTTTCTTATTGGACTAAGTTTTGAGGTATTGTCACTGCTTTCTCGACTATAAAATTAAATTTTTGTTAGAATAAAGTATCATTTTAATGAATGATGCAAATGGAGAATCGACTTATCTAAACTATCATCTTTATGATGAAGAACAGTATAATAAAACTATATTGAAGGCATAATCCTTCTTAGCATTTATGAGGATCTATGCTTCTTAGATTGTCCAATAAAGTGGAGATTAATTTTTATCAGTCATAGATAAATTACTATAATAAAAAAATTTTGATATCATTGAAAAGGACAAGGATTATACAATTTTGGAATTGCCTCTAAAAGTTGCTTAACTATTTAAAAGTGGAAATAAAGAAAATACATAATTAGCAAACACTTTGATGGTTGATTTCAATAAGAAAATGAAATAATTAAAAAACTTTGATTTTGATGTTTCTGTGTTAGAAGAAGTAGGAGCTAATCTTGGATATGATATTTTGGCAGATCCAGTAGAATTAATGGAAATGAAAAATTTATTAAAGATAAGAATTAAAAATAAGGCTTATTCACTTGAAACTTATGAAAAATATTTTGATTACCAAATGAAATTAGTCTCCTTGATCCGACATTATGATGAAGAATTGTCTATGTAATTAATTTTTGAAAAGATACTATCTGACGACCCATAAAATCTCAAAGTTCAAATTAATTATGATTGGCTTAAGTTTTCAGAAAATAAGATCTCGCAATAGCAATTGATTGAAATATATTAAAAATATCTCCCTGCCCCACCTAAGATTGAGCAAATAATTTATAAAAGAATAGGAACACTAAAACTAATAAATAATTAAATAAATGAGTCAAAATCTTGTTTTGAAAAAATATAAGGTGATGATTACGAGGCCAGTTTGGCACTTGGCATGATAGCATTCTATCAAAAGTCATACGCAGAATCACTAGAACATTTATATAGAGCTTTTAATTATTGTTAAACTAATTATCATTTGAATCAAATAATAATGTTTGTTTTAAACAAATTAAAATAAAAAGATAAAGCTTTGGAATTTGCTATTAACATTTATAAATTGTAACAATTTTAGAATGTCTATTGGTTAAGCTTTACAATAGGGTAGCATTTAATGTAGAATGTTTAATTTGGCAAAGCTCATGACATTTTATAGAAAGCAGCTGATTAATTTCATTTTAATGTAGAAAAAACTTATAAATTGTATTATGAAAAGAAATTTGATTAAGGAGATTTTTCGATTCCGTATTTTATTAATTAGAATGATAATTTATATTTATCTGATTATCCTGTTTTTTCATCAAATTATTTAGTAAATTAGGGAATGATTGTTTTAACTGAATAATATTTTTAGGATGAAAAATATTTAAAATTATTCAAATTAGAGATGAAGTTAGCAGAATTAAAAAAGATATTAGGATTATAAGGATCTGCATTAAAGAGTTTGGAGAAAGCAGAGGAATTGCTATTAAGCGAAAACAATAACTAAATATCAGAATTAGATAATTATTTGACAATTAAATGTGAGGAGACTTCAAATAAAGGAAAATTAATTAGATTTACACAATAATTAAACTAAATATAAATTTAAAACAGATGGGTTTGTACTCTTAGAACCAAGAAAATAGATTAATAATATTCTAAACTTTTGATTTTGCATAACTTTGAGTGTGCTTAATTATAATTATATGGATAATAGGAATACTTTAGTCAGGAAAGAATGATTTAAGGGTTATTGATGTCAATTCATAATTTTGATGATTAAGAAATTCAAATCTTGCTCAAGAGTTATTTATGTTTTGTTTTTGAGATTGCTGCATAACAAATTAAAAATCAACTAGCATTTGGAACAGATGGAGTTCAATTATTGGCTTAGAAATACTTAAGCCTATTTGAATTGATAACATCTCAATTACAATTAAACGTTTATGCATGTGAGTGTTTAAGAGAATTCTTTTATTTATTAGGAATATATCATGATGCCTAATATTTTGAACAAAGTTTAAAATACTCATAACTTGTTATAAAATTATTATGCCAAGTTGACATATCAGATTAATTTAATTTACAAGAAACCTTTTAACATATGAGAAGTATTTTAAATGGATAAGATAAAAAGTAGCTGATTGTAAAAAATAATTTGCAATCATTATTATTAACTCGGAGCAGACTTAATTTAGATACAATAAAATATTTAGAATTAAGTTTATCTTTATTTCCAAAATGTGATAGTTTGTATTGCATAGCTGCTTAAATTAGAAGAAATCCTGCATTCATATTAAAAGCTCTGGAATGCAATTAGAAATGTTAAGCCGCCCTTTATCAATTAGGATTACTCTACATTGGTAGATAAAATTATGAATTTGCATTTTAAACACTATAAAAATGCATTGAAGTTGAGCCAACAACATCAGCCTTTGCGTATTTGGCATTATCAATAATTTTATTTATTTATCTCCAATAAAACTATAATATTGAATTACCTGATTGCAACAAAGTAAAACAACTGGATTCATTACATTTTTACTAAAATCAATTGACATAAGCAATATCTTCATATTTAGATTATGTATCAACCCTTTAAAATACTCCAATTTAAAACATTTTAAGTATTATATATAGAAACTTATATTTGGGATACACAATTACAAGTGAAGCCATCCTTCATGATGAGAAATTTAAGCTGTTGCTGAAATAATTCCCACCTGAATACACTAGTATTCTGTACTGTGAAATTCCTTACATTCAAAATTCAACAGAATTGGAAAAGATTTACAATAAGTATACTAATATAGTATAGATAAAAGAAGAAATACAATTAATTATTACATAAATGAATTAGTATGAAAACACAAATAACAATCAAGTTTAATGGGCAGCAAAACTAAAATATTTAATTCATTTATTGACATTAAGTATTGAGAAAGTATCAAATTTATAAGATTTGATTGGAATTATAAATAATGTATTTGATATGTTGGTTAAAAATATTATTAAATTAAGATAAGCAACAAACATTTTTAACTTTGATGTTTTATTTATGAGTTTTGTCAACAAATGGTATCATTATACAAGAACAATTTATTTAAAGGATAATTAGCATAAAGATTATTATCTGTTTGTTGCAAAGTTTTAGTAATAATGTCTAAAATTGAAAGAACTCAATGAAGCTTAATTGATAAATTATATTGATTAATTAATGGATAAAAACACTAAAATTACTGAGGAATTAAAACATAAGTTATAATTTATGGAATTGATTTATTAAGGAAACTGGTAAGAGGCAATTACTCATTTATAACTGTGCATATTTCATAACCCTTTGAAAAGAGTGTATAGAGATATACTTAATAAAATCCACATGACATTTTACGAATAGAAATATGTTCAATAAGATATTTTAGATTTTAGAAAAACTAACTAGGCTTCACTTTGGTTGAATACCATTATAAATGAATTGGTTTTAGAGAGATCTAGAAATGTATCTAGATTGCCTTTGCTGCTGAAAATAATCAGATTTAAGATTTTACCTTATGCTGATAATTTAATTGCAAAACTCTTAGTTAAAGTATTATGTGATATTGAGTAATAAATATCAACAGAGGGATTATTGGATTAAATCGCTAAGAACTTTAACATAAATAAAGAGAAATATTGGATCAAAGCATTGATTTAAAAACAGTTAAATGAAAAATAAAATGTTAACCAACTTATCTTAAAATATAGAGATGTATATCTGGAACAATTTGAAGATTAAATTTAATGGAAGAAGACTGCTTTATTTTTTTTAGTATATATTAATTATATCACTAGCCAATTTTAACATAATTGTACTTTGATCGAGGGTCATAAGGTATGGAATCAATAATATAATAAATAATGCAAAATTATTGTTTGTATGCACAGCAATTTTTACCAAAGGATGATAAACTCAAGAAGGCTAGATTTACATATAATATGCTACATTATGGTTGCTACATAAAAAAATTAGATGATATTGAATCTATAGGGGTTACATTGACAAATTTAAAAGAAATAGCAGATGAAGTACTTATTAAAATTACTCTATTAGTTTGCTAACTAAGGGACCTTTAATCCAACTAGTTTATCAATATATCTGCATTATTTAGTGGCAACTGAAAAATATTAGGAACTAGATAAATGGCTAGAAATTACTAATGAATATATTTATAATAATGATCCAATAATCACTTGGGGTTAAATTATAAGATCAT